TCAGCTTTTTATATAGATATATCATGAAGGGCAAAATAACAATTGACCTATCTGTAAGCCCCACCCCCTTTGTTACTGTAGCTATCTCGGACTAATAAAGGAGTTGCTAACTGTCTAATGTCAACTGTTAGTGTGAAAACCTTGATCAAATTGTTTTTGATCAATTTTGGACACAGAATTACCACCTCTCGTCGAGGAGCACTCAGGTGGGTCTAAATATGCCATGGAGGGATATATAAAAATATTTTAAAATAAATATGGTAGCTAAAGATTGATTTGGAAGCAAGTGTTTACCGGCACATCACAAAGCAAGCAGGATAAGCCTTATGTTGTGGTCGTCACGATCGCAGATGGCTTTTTTTTTTACCTACACACACTGTACATGACGTGAGAACAGTAAGCTATTTAGTTTTGTATGTTAGCATGAGCTCACTAACTTTAATTTTAACGAAGTACGAGTATGACAACCAGAAAATGAATGTTTGTTTTCATTGGGATTGGAGTTGAATCCTTAGAGAACCAGGTTATTGCTCTCAAATTATTTATTATAAGCAAGTACCCACGCCCATCCTTTCAGGATACCTGGGATCAGTGTTACAAGTACCACAGGCACATTGTTTTACCATTTTTGTAGCATAAACACCATATGACCGATGAGGGCTACTGATCTTCCAATGTTTCTCAATGGTGCTAAAACCTAAAGATGTTAGAGTTTTGGTCCCCATGCAACTGATACTAAACTGCCATTGGCCCATCTGCGTTTAAGGGGGAGGGGCTTTACCGATAGGTCAATTATGCTTCCAGTAGCTCAGGTGACATTGACAATGAAGTTTTGTTCTGAATGCTCATGTAAACAGAATCTGAAATAAGATTAGCTTCATTTTGACAAATGCATGTAAACATACCTTGTTAAAGTGTGTGGTCTTATAGTGGATTATCTGTTTGTTTTAGCTGCGTGTGGATAAATGGTGGGGTAACAGGAAGGAGTTGGCCACAGTCCGCACCATCTGCAGTCATGTCCAGAACATGATCAAGGGGGTCACCCTGGTAAGTGAACTCGATTTTGTACTTTCACACTCGATTCTATTGAGTATGTTCATTGTCTAAAGCAGCTTTAAAAGGACTGTTTTATAGTCCTAACCTGTAATCTCGTTCTAGTTATATTGAAAAGGAAATGATGTGGACTATGTGATGTAATACATGTTTAATTTTTTTCTCTAGGGCTTCAGATACAAGATGCGATCTGTATATGCCCATTTCCCCATTAATGTGGTGATCCAGGAGACTGGCTCTTTGGTGGAGATCAGGAACTTCTTGGGAGAGAAGTACGTCCGTCGTGTTCGCATGAGGGCAGGTATGTGTAAAGGCTTTTCGTCTGAATAAGACACAAAGTGCTGCCTTGATGGACAGTATACAAATGGCTGAGGGGTGGAAAAATGCGGGTCAGTCCGTCAACGGTCGTGGGGGGAGCATGAGCTATACGACATCATATTGCTCAGAAATTCCAAATGGCTTGATTGAGTGTTTAGACTTTGAGGATTAAAAAAAAGGAGTGAATGGATATTTTTTACACTGTATGTTGGTTGTCCCCACACTGCAGAGACACATTTATGTGCAAACACCATATCAAAGTAAATTTTGCATTTGATGACCCCTTTAACTTTGCTGCAGACATGCCTGGTTATGGTTACAGAATTAAGGTGTTTTGTTTTTTGGTAGGTGTGGCTTGTGCAGTGTCTGCTGCTCAAAAAGACGAGCTGGTTCTGGAGGGTAATGACATTGAGCTGGTGTCAAACTCAGGTGAGCATCATTTTAAGATGTACTGTGCCAACGTAAGCATGATTAGAGTGCAATCCACTCGAATCATTGAGTGGTTTTCAATATTTTAAACAACATGATGGTCTGTTTGCACATTTAAATGGTCTATAATTTCTGCTATCATTAGCACAATTTTATTTCAAATTAACAGACAACTTGGATTCACTAATAGGTCCTCTGGTTTCTGTCACAGTGTTTTAGGGAATCCCAGTATTGTGCACAAAGATGTTTTTGTTATTGAGCATGTACATGCACACCATTATGTTAAGTTTATGGAAATAATCTGTATCACTTGTTTACATGCAAAGCAATAACCTGGCAATGCAAATAAATGGCGTCTACAAGACTATTATAAAAGTGATTGTCCGGTGGTGACAAGCATAAGCATTCATGTATTTCACTGTTTATTATGAGAGTTAAGATGTTAAAGCATTTAAAATCCAAGAGTAAATAAATGAGTGACTGAGCCTCTCTTTTTAATTTTTTTTTTGCCATTTGTTTGTACTAATTTATTTCAAATGGTTTGTTTTCCTTTACTGGACTCGTTGTAGCAACCCTCAAATTTAAGCCTAAGTTGTACCCTCCCTCACCCTGTTTCAGAATTGGACAATTTTAGCCTCCTTTCCCCTATCTGACATCCTTAACCCTTGGTTGCGTTGTGACTGAAGAGATTGTCCCTGATTGGATTGTGTGTGTGAGAGAGAGAGAGAGACTGTGGTTATGTAAGTCTAGTGTGCGTGCATGCCTCACCTCCCCAGCCTTTCTTGTTTCAGCGGCCCTCATCCAGCAAGCAACCACAGTGAAAAATAAGGATATCAGAAAGTTCCTGGATGGTATTTACGTCTCTGAGAAGGGCACTGTAGTGGAGTCGGAGTCGTAGAGAACACGAGAGGTTAGAATGAGACCGCCGCGCAGGGCGACAGAAGCTGCTGCTGCCCATCGCCTTTCTATTGACTCTTTTCTGTGCTAGTTTTCCTGCTTTTTGTCCTTGAAATGTCTCTGTTGTCAGTTTTCATGTGTCACCTCTGCTAAAGTGCCATATTTCAAATGATGCGATGTTTAGAGTGAATTAACCATCTCCTGCACACCTAACAGCTTTACTTCACTCCATCTTTTATAGGGCTTTATTGCACGTTCACGATGATCCAAGCATGAGAATACTTCAAACGATTAAGTTCACAGCTTTTTAACAACTGGCTAGGTTTGCATGTTACACGTGATTTCTGTACAGCTCTTGCAGTACATAGGAGTTCCTGGGTGCACCACCTTGCCATTTATAGTGGATTGTCTTTACAATTGTTTTTGTCTTTCTCTTTCCGTCTCCCATCAGCTGCACTGATCCAGCAGGCCACCACTGTGAGAAAGAAGGACATCCGGAAGTTTCTTGATGGGATCTATGTTAGTGAGAAGGGCACTGTGGTGGAACAGCAAGAAGACTAAATTAGTCTGTAAAATCTGTCAATAAAGACCAACTCTCATTTTTCAACAACATATACTTGTGCAGTTGTTTTTGTTGGCACAGTTTGATCATAAATCAGTGACTGGTAGTGGTAGATGTGAAGGGGTTCGTGTCTAGCAAATTGTCTGATCAGTAACTTCTCAAAGTAAAGTTGAATGGTACTTTAACTAATACCATTTTACTTCATCATAGCTGGTCAAAAACAATCCAAATTTATAAGTAGCATAAGTATTACCGTGGAATGTTTTTAAGCAATTTATTTTACTTGCATAAACATTCGGTTTCAAATGAAGAACCTTTTTATGCTGCAAGGGTTCATCAATGGGTGTGCATTTTCCTGTTTATCAATGAGATTCAGTCCCATTAGTGTGAAATATGGGAAAGAGCCTAAATATACTTCACAAAAGTATTTTGGGTCTATTCTAACCAATAGGTCATTTTTATTTTATTTTTTATTTGTCATTTTTCATATTCATATGTTATTGTTATTGTATGGGCATGTTATTTTTTTTACTAAAAGTAGGAGCTATTTATAAAGAAGCTAAAAGTAAGATTGAAGTGGCAGTCCACAGCATATTAAAATTAGCTAATTTAAATCTGATTTAAATCCAATTGTGTATATAAACAAGAAAAAAAATTGAATGAAATCAAGACAATCTGTTTAGATTCTTAATGTCTAATCTAAAGAGGATATTAAGAGAACACTGGTATGTATATAAAATTGAGTTCCATCAATAGCTCCAACAGCTCCATTGCAATCCTCATGAAAGTGGGTTGCTTTTGCTGTATTGTTAAAAAGTCAGTTGAGAAGTCAATGAACTGCCTGACTGTTTGGTGTGGTTAGTGCAGCAGTAGTGCTATTCATATCCTGCTTACTGTGGACTGATGGGTCCAAGTCATCACTGATGCACTGCTGCATTTTTTACATTCATCAAAAAAGTCATTATTACTTTTATTTCTGCAGTTAGAGCATTGTTTCGTTAAGTGGCCGAAGTTGTCAAATTTCTTACTAGGTCGATTACAAAAAGTATATCTTGACTATCAAGCTTGTATTGTTTTATTAACTCTGTCATCATATAACTCCAGTCCATTATATCATTATAGGAAATACTGTCAGCACTTTTCTGCTGCCATCTTGTTACTCTTAACTAGATTAGGATACTTAGGAGCTTTAATGAATCATACTCAAGTCTAGGAATGAGACTAAAATGAAGTCACAGAATTTTGACACACTTAAGACAAATTTACTCATGAGCTTCTTTATACAAATGCCCCCTGAATGCATTATGAGGGTTAGATTTGTCACTATTATGCATTTAACACAGGGGCCAAATAATAAAAATGATTTTATGATATTTTTGAACATACATTCCAGAACATAAAAGGGGTCTGGAAATGTTTAGAGAAAAACTATAAATAAATAATCAAAAGATCCAAAATAAATAAGAGAAACAAAAATGACATATAAATAAGAAAAGTTGCATGTGTAAATTAACATATTTACATCTATACGAATACATCTAACATCTAAAGTAATGCATTTATTAACCCAATTCAAAGTAAACATTTCTTTGCACAATATAATATTTTTTATTAATTTTCATGTATTTTATACAGAAACAATAGATACCATTTAAAAATTTGTGGATGGAGATCCCTCTTACACGGATTGTACAAAGTTTGGGGTCAAGTTTCAGGTTCAAAGCAGTTTTCATTCAAATTAATTTCTAATAACAGCATTAGGCATAATATTGTTTTATAAACAATCAAATACGATACCTCTAAGTATGATTTAGTTTGTTATACAACATTTGTTGCAATTAATTATTATCGTATTTTACAATGTGTATAGTATAGACTGTAAAAAATAGGTATCAACACTCCAGCCGAATCTGATCCGCGCGTTCGTCTCTCTCTTCCTCCATCTCTGCTCTCCGTCATCACGCTGCGCCTGGGTTGAGTATCATTGGCGCCAAAGAAGACTGGAGAAGCACTACTGTCCTGCAATCTGTCCAAAAATAAAGACACGATATTGACACATGCTCAAAAATGGTGAGTGGCCTGATCAATGCACCGTCTAACGTTATATATATAAAAAATAATGCAATCAGAGACGAGCTCGATGCAGATAATAAGGCTGTTTGGATATATAAAGAGCAGTTAGCTCAAACTTCCAACCTTAACATGTTTGTTAACAGACCAGAGCTACAAATGAAAGAAAACATACAAAGGCTATTCATGAATGTGGCAGTCCATGTTTACGTCATTTAGTATCACGAGAGTATTTGTTTACGTCTGGGTCGAGCAACATTTAACGTTAAGCATTTAAAAATTGTGGAGAACTTAACGATCCAAGTCGACTGTCTCCCAACAGACAGACAGGCCAATATGATGAGCTGTTGTGTTAACAGTATAACAATACAGTACAGATGTCCGTGTTTTTGGTATCAACGAAGCACCTGCTTCCTGTTTGTTATTGTGAACTTTGAAATGTAAACATGCAACTGAACTAACTCAGCCTAGGGTTTCTATGGTAGTTGCTCTGCGCAGCACGTTTAAGAATCCATGTTATTTGTGATGGAACTTATGTAAAACTGCAAAAAAAATGTTAATATTATATTTTTTCTAATTCTCTTATTCTCGTTTCAGGATATCCGGAGGTTTTTTGCATCCACCAAACCTTCAAATGAAAGCACCAGCACTGATGAAGAACAGAAGAAGAAACAGAAATCAAAAACCAAGGTAGAACAGTGGTCTAATGTACATGTGTCATTTATTTCCGTGACAGGATTGTACTACATCTACTAATATATCTATTAAAATGAGATGGCACCTACAATATAAGTTGATTCTCATATTCTCTTTATTTACATTTTGCATGCTGATGTTTGATGCATCCTGCAGTATTATACAATAACTCATTTTCTCTTTCTGTAGATCAAAAGTCCCAAATCTGATGAGAAACCAACTGGAAAACGAAAGAAAAGAGTCATAATTGATTCAGGTTTGTAAACGGCTTTTATCAAATATTGGTACAATTATGATGATTACCATTATGTTCACTTTATTAAGACATGGTGGTTATTAAGGATTAAAAAAAAAAATACCCTAGACCAGGGGTTTTCAAACAGGGGGCTGCAAGAAAGTGCTTGATTGTCTGTAAAAAAATTACATTAATGTAAATAAATACAGTACTATAATGAATTGGGAAAAATTTTATAATCTAATTTAATAGAAACTAAATATTTTTCCAAATAAAAAAAAAACTCTCCTTGACAGTTTTAGAATTTGATATCACAATATTTCTCTCATCTTATCGTAGACTCTGAGGAAGACAAGAAGGAGAAGAAGACCAAAAAGAGCACTAAAGAGACACCTGCACCCACAGTGAAGAAACAACCAGTAACTTTCGTTTCTGATTCTGGTGAGGGAGTCAGCAAGCAAATTGCCTCATGTATAATATAATACTGTGTGAATATGACGTGTAGATCACAATTTGTATTCCTTTCTTTTCTTTTTTTTTTGTCCTTGTTTTATTTTTCCAGATTCAGATGACACATTTGTGACTCTGAAACCGCACAAACCTAAAGAAAATGGAACTGCTAAAGGCAAGGAGGTCTCAAATTCAGGAAAAGCAAAACAAGCAAAAGTTTCCCCTAAAAGATCTCCAATCAAATCCCCAAACACAACCTCAAAGCCAAGTGTGAAGAGTTCTCAGCCCATTGTATCAACAAAGGTCACACCAACCCCACCTAAACTGAAGCCTACCACAGTAATGGCATTCTTTGGGAGCTCAAGTGTTCAGAGGTCAGAGAAGAAAATGGTGGCCAGTACCAGCACCAAAAGGAAAGCAGTGAGTAGAGAGAGTGAATCAAAGTGTGTGTTTGCGTGTGCGCTTAATGTGTTGAAAAATTCAAACTCATCTGTGTTCGGTCTCGTCCAGCCCACACAGGAAATAGATGAGTCGCTCAGTGATGAAGCCATTGCAAAAGAACTTCAGATGGATGAAGAAATTGAGGTTGGTTTAGGACACATGACAAATGCACGATAATGTACCTATATTAATCAGAATTTGGTCAAAAATGTACAGTATTATGTTCTATTAACAAGGACATGAATCATGAATGAGAATTAATGAGCTGAATTATAATTCAGAATTACTAAAAATGAATTGGACTAATTGTCAAGGCCAAGAGATTTCCACAAGAGCATGCAAGCGTGAATCTTCATGACAATAGCTTTTTCAGAATAAAGGCTTATAGAGAATATACCTTAATCTGAAAATGCATGTTAATGTAGTCACATGGAGAAATTGTTAGTTTTCTGTATGTATAAATGCGTAATGCAGAACTTGTTTGTGTGTGTGTTAGTTGGAAAAGCAGATTCATGACGATGAGGAATTTGCAAAAACATTAGCCATGCTGGATGAAGCTCCCTTACCGAAAAAGGTTAGTGAGCTGCAGTGCAAACATGTCTATAGTTTGTCATAACTCTGTCTCATTCTGATTTAAACATGCATAGTAAAAATACACATGCAAGTAGTTATTCATAATTTATTCTTTCACGGAAATAATATTTTAACAGGTTTACTCTGCTTATTCATTTGAAAACCTTTTGTCTGCCTAATCAAATGTCCTCAAAAATCACATGGTGTGGCCAACGAAGCCATGTTTTTTTTTAGTTTGTTACACATTTCTTTTTGTTTCCTAGGCTCGGGTAGACTCTATCTCCCCTTCCAAGAGCAGCTGTCAGGCAGTTGCCTCAGACACCAAACCTAAAAAGGACCCATCGCCTAAAACAAGTCCTGTGAAAACCAGCTCCAAACTGGCTCAGATGAAAAAACGTCAGGATGAAGAGGATGAGCAAAGGAAAAGGGGCGAAAAGAAAATGAAGATCTCCCCTAAAAAAGAGCCCATCTCACCAGCTTGCTCAGAGCAGGCAGCTACGCCCAAAACAGGAAGTGTTTCCACGGGAATGACAAAATCAAGAAGTATTTCCACACCTAAAAGTGAACCCAGTAAAACTTCACCGACAAAACCAGAGGTATTTATTTTGCAAGTGCTGCTTGATTCAGGATCGTTTTATATTAGAAGATATTCGAAATGACAATGTAAGATTTGTTATTGTGTTTTTTTAAGAGTCTTTTAAGTTTTTATTTTGTATTTATACCATGCTTTTCTATAAATATGACCTGAAAACCTCTAGTGAGCAAACCTTTGTCTATAATATTTCAGAATACAAGTCCTGAGGATCTTGAGAAAAAACGAGCAAATTCATCAGCCTACCGTAACTTCTTGAACAGAGAAGGACCACGAGCTCTGGGGTCTAAAGAGATACCACAGGTAAAAACACCTAAATCACTCATCTTGACAACTGAAGGCCTATCGTCTCATTGCTATTTACTACTATATTTCAGGAATCAAATTATACTTGACCTTTCAAGGGGCTATATGTAGAATTCAGAAACTCCAGTTATTAGTGACACCAGTGGCCATTAAGTGAACTGCAGCCAGCAACTATTGTCTGTACTGACGATATAATGGGACGATAACCGGTTTCACGATGAATATACAGTACTGACGGTTTACAGTACTGTTCGTTTAAAATTTAATTATCATTAAAACCATGTTTGATTATTGTAAATTCTATCGGCCAGTCTGACGCTAGCGCGCTGCACGCAATGTTATTTTAAATTACTATTCGAGAAGGATTGGTGGAAGGCAGTGACCGTGCTCGGGAGATTTTTAAGCCTTTTAAGATGACCAAATCTGAGGTGTGGTCATATTTTGACTTTTACAAAAGTCCTGAAGGAAACTTGATCGAGGATAGTCATCCTGTCTGCCGAACAAAAAGTTGCTGCAATAGAAACACTTCAAATCTGCCTAGTCGTTTTGTGTGACCATCAGCAACTGTTGTATAGCGAATGCAAGGCAAGTTAACTTTGACCTCAATACCAAAACTACGTCTTGGAAACAATTGGCACGAAATGTTGTTTTGAGTTTAAACATGTTATGTCACTCACCTGAAATAGACATGAAGTGTCCACGAAGAAGATTTTGCAGCAAGTGGCTTTGGGCCAAAGACGAATGAACAATTTCAAACAAGACTATTATTAAGAGTGACATTTTAAGGGATAGTAATGTATAGATGCATCACGTATTACACCGATTTTGTTTTTTACCACATAATTACGGGGACATATTGAATTGATAATGAGATTAGCTAATGTTTTAAATCTTACCTGTTTATAAATTCATTTTGGAAAACAATCGTCCAGACAAGATATATCACACCAATATTATCAAACTCTGTAAACAATAAATCAACTCTCATTTCATTTTCAATGCAATCAAAAATCAGAGACGCAAGACGGCAAGTTGTATTTGAATGAAATGTGCACTGTGTAATAATGCGTTGCTATTGACGACGGGCATTATAAAGAAGGAAATGCCATTGCCATATAATAGAATCTTGCTTAAAAAACTGCATAGAGCTACTTGTTTATTTGTTGTTTGTTGTTTTTCAAATATAAAACTTGTTGAAATGTTTTCAGTGTGAGCTTCAGTTCTTTTTGAACACTTTCATCAAATTTTAACAAAACCGTGATAATATTGATAATCACAATAATTTCAAAACCCTGATATACTCATAGCAAAGTTCTTTTTCATTCTTCGCTTGGTGGAAGAAATAATTGGTCCTGACCGTACATTTAGGTAGTGCAGATTCTTGGTCTTAGCGTTATTGTATGATAAACATTTAGTAAGCTGTATAATATATTCTAATTGCTGAACTCATGCAGACATGCTTTTGGCCTGAGGATTGCGCTCAAATGTTGATTGACAGGCTTGAAATACACACAACATACACATAGAATGCTTTAATGTAGTTGTGGAGGAATTCCGTTAAGGAAACAAAAATCATGTCTATTCTCAGAACAAATATTAAACAAAACATAACAGAACTATATCAAGGCTATTTATTTGAGCATGTTTAAACTAAAGGATTTTATATAGGATTTTGTATATTTCATACTTTCATTAATTTGATATGCAACTCCAAAAAGTAGCGCACTGGAATGGAAAAACGCCCTTTTTTTGAACAGCCTCTAACATTATTTATGTCACTGTTACTACAAAGTTTTTAATTTTAATTTGTTTTGCTGTGCATTTGTTGATGTTAGTGGCCTCCATCTTTTAGCTAACATTAGCTACACACTTTCTCGCTGTAGAGAACTAAAGAGAGTCTCTCGGAAGGGCAATCCTTTTGATTTTCCTGGAAAACATCCTGAGTTCTCCACATAAAAATCAGTCTACAAGCTTCCATAAACAGCCTAGGAAGTTGGGGAAGATCTATTTTTTTTTAAGTTTCGTTACTAGCTGTTTATACATTGGCTATAAAAATTCTTACATATAGCCCCTTTAAGCTGCTTAAACAATGTTATGTGCATGTTTTAGGGAGCAGAGAACTGCCTGGAGGGTTGTGTGTTTGTGTTGACTGGTGTGTTAGAGTCTATGGAGAGGGATGATGCTAAGTCTCTAATAGAGCGATATGGCGGCAAGGTCACGGGAAACGTCAGCCGTAAAACCAATTACCTTGTTCTGGGACGAGACAGTGGAGTTTCAAAGACTGAAAAGGTCCTTCTTTTTATTATTTCTCTTTATTCGAACTTGAGTGTTCTGTATGTTTCTTTTTCAGTGTATTTATAAATTACCCTTTTAATTTTATTTTTAGTTGTAACATTATGTGCTAACGTAACTTCAATGTCTATCCTTTAGGCGGAGAGTTTTGGCACTAAGATCATTAATGAAGATGAGTTGTTGGAACTCATAAGAACCAAACCAGGCAAGAAGTCTAAATACGAGATTGCGGCAGAGGCAGAGGTAAAGAAGCTCCCATCAACCCTCCTGTTCTTTCACTTGCACTCACTGCCCACTGGAGCCTCACAATATTTAGCTAAATAAAATCGATATTTCGGTATATAGTTTACGATATTGGTGTTTATTCAAAGTTATACTGCGGAGGGTGACATTTTATATGAATATGTGTCGTATTGCTACTGCTGAGACATCCAGACACATTAGACTCTATTGCTAATTTTAGGGGTGTTTGTAGACACAAGTTCATACTTTACAAGAACCAACTAACACAAGTCTTTAAATTATTCCCTTGTGTTCAAAGCCTTGTGCTTTTCACATCGAATCTTCAACCCTTTATTTTGGCAGAATATTGGTATACCATTATTTTGAACCCCCAAATGTTTACATTTTTAACCAAAGCCCTAAATAGATGGTTCATACCCACAATGTCTTCAATGTTAAAATAAATTTTTCAGCGGAAATGCTTCCTTTTTACGATCCAGTTACCCATGTAAATACTATGTACTAATTTTAGTAACTACAATTACTGGGTAATAACTAGTACTAACCTGAACCTACCCCTGTTCCATGTACTTACCTTATATTAGCCAGTACTTTCTAGGTAAGTACTGTACTGTAAAAGGAAGCGGTACCTTTTTCAGCTTTTTAATATAATTTTTTATTTCTATGCACTGCCTAACAAAATCACCCCAGTCAAGAATTATTTCCAAAATATAGCTAATTAGTTGCTCTGGTCAAAATGTTCCGTTTTTTTTTTTTTTTTTTTTTCATATCGCAATATATATTGCAGAAAAACTAAATAACGCATACGAAGTATGTCTGTTTTTTTCCAATATTGTGATGAGCTGTCTGTCTATCTTCTATATTCTAGAATAAATCCTCTAAGACAAGGACTCCAGACTCTAGAGGCAAGCCCACTCCTCCAGCCAAGAAGGCCACACCACAAGGGCCCAGTCCCAACAAGAGAAGCCCTTCAGAGAGGAAGTCTAAGCCTGGCTCTGCCTCTAAATCTGGCACACGTGAGGCCTCTCGTTCAGAGGTCAAAAAGAGTTTGAGCTATGATCAAACCAAGACAGCATCCCCTGTATCCCACTCTACCCCACAGAATGATGGGAGCAGCCTGTTGTGGGTGGATAAATACCGCCCCCGCAGTCTGAAGAACTTGATTGGACAGCAGGGGGATCAGAGTTGTGCCAACAAGCTTCTGCGCTGGTTACAGCACTGGCATAAACATCACAGTGGCAATACAAAAGCACCACGTCAGTATTTAAAGTTTCTTCTTACTGTGTTCACATCACAGTAGATATTTGGGTAGCTGACATATAACCTATGATCATCAACATCAAGATTTTAGGTTAAAAATGTGGATTAGTAAATGTGTATATTAACTTTAATTGTTTTTCAGCTTAGTAGACTAGTTAATTTGAAATGGTCACATAGTATGACAATTGTCCATTTAGCCTCTTAAGGTCATATTAATTGTATAAGATAAGAATTGTAAATGTTGTTTTAGATGGTTTATATAGAGTTTAGCATGTCATACTGGGGCATCTGCTCAATTTCATGTTAGCTCCCAGTGTTGGAATGGCATTATACCAGTATGCAAGTTCTATATGCTTATAATACATCAATTCTACTTTTACCATTATATAACCAGAGTACAGTTTCCTATAATGCAGTGCACTTGACTTGAACATGAGCATATGCACCATATTTTACACTAAGACTCAAAGCATAATTTTTATTTTAATGGTGCATGCCATTCCAACCTTACAGAATATGTTTATTCAAAAGCACTGTTTGTTTGTCATTGTCACGAATGTCATTGCGTTTCTCTTTCTCTGTGTGAAACAGCCAAATTTGGTAAGTTTGGGAGTAAAGATGATGGTTCTGGATTTAAGGCTGCATTGCTATCTGGTCCTCCTGGTGTTGGGAAGACCACTACTGCTGCTCTCGTCTGTGAGGTCAGTTCAGTCTCATAACATTTAGTTTGACTGTGTTTCAAAAACAGTCTGTGAAATGGTTTTGAAGTGTTTAGCATTGGGTCAAGGATTAAGTCTTTAGTGAATGATTGTACATGCTGTGTCTGTTTTACAGTTTTGTTGCATTGGGTAAAGCATTAATAGAGTTCCATATGTGCTTTTAGGAGTTGGGTTACAGCTACGTGGAGATGAATGCGAGCTGCACCCGCAGTAAGAACAGCTTAAAGGAAGTGATCGCTGAATCACTCAACAACACCAGCATTAAGAACTTCTATACCGGTAATTAGCTTAATTAATAGCTAATTCAGCTGGTAGCATCTGTAAAATGGCTTTGGAGTTAAACTTGGTGATTATAATATAAACACAGTATGTTTTTGTGTTTAATGGTGTCAGGTGCATCTCAGACAGTGAGCAGTAAACATGTCCTCATAATGGATGAGGTGGACGGAATGGCAGGAAATGAAGACAGAGGAGGAATACAGGTAGACGTATATACACTCACATTCAATTGCATTATCTCTCTTTACCACAGGTGGTGCTCAAGGAGCAAAAATGGTCATGATGGGGTTTAAATACTTAAGGGTTCAGTGGCTGTGTGGAATGGAGCACTTGCTCAGTATATATTATATACTGCCTACAATTTTTAAAAATAGAATGTGAAACGGTTGGCTTTGTCCACAATAAATGTTTCAAACTGTAGAATTCTACTTCTCATTGCCCTGGTATCATAGATGCAAATAAAAATGTTGATTTTGGAATTTTGATTTATGTTTTATTTATGTGAGTTTGACATGCAATTATGCTGTATGGAAAATAAAAGGTCAAGTTATTTCAATGTGGATTACAGTAATCCATTCACTGTTGAATACTGCTTATTTTGAGCAAGGAAATATATACACTTTGCACAGTCTATATATTACATAGTGCAGCCTTGGTAAGAGTATTATGCTATTCTGAACAATGAACACCAGTGTTTTCAGAGAGTTAATGTGGTTTTTGACACGTGTGCTTTGCCCTTTGACCCATACAGGAGATGATTGGTCTGATAAAGCAGTCAAAGATTCCCATCATCTGCATGTGCAATGACCGCAATCATCAGAAGATCCGCTCGCTGGCCAACTACTGCTACGACCTGCGGTTTCAGAGACCCCGTGTTGAGCAGATCAAGGTACTCACTGGCATTTGAAATTTGAGTTTCAATTACTGTTGATCAGTCACACATTTGCTTATTTAGTTAGTGAACTAGAAATATTGCAGAATATTTTGATTATTGATTTTGCATCATGTCGTTTAGAAACGTTTAAAATATTAATATCAAAATAAATCCCAGATTTGAACCCAAATTTATATGATTGCTGAAAAACATGTCATCTCTGAAAAAACACTTTATTTTAATGTTTGTTATACATGTTACATGTGCTGTACCTGCTATAGTAATAATAACAGTAATTTATGAATAATTACAAGCAGTTAACCTTATAGTAAGTGCATGTTTTTAGTTTATTACTCTGTACTTTGTGTAATTACACTTTACCAAGGACACTTTAACATAAAATGTAGCCAAAAAAAAATCTTATTTTAGTAAATGTAAAGTATATTTGAAAAATGTTTAAGCTGCCTTTTTGCCCAATCAGGGGGCTATGATGTCTATAGCTTTCAAAGAGGGTCTGAAGATCCCACCCCCAGCACTGAATGAAGTAATCCTGGCGTCCAATCAGGATATTCGACAGGTATGATGTTAACAAACAATTCTGTTGCCTTTTATCACTGATTCAGCAGCCTGTGTTTTACATTGCAACATTTGTTATTATATTTCTACATCTAGATCCTGCACAATCTGTGCATGTGGTCGGCTAAAGACAAAGTCATGACTTATGACCAGGCCAAAGCTGATGCTAAGAACGCTAAGAAAGACATGAAACTGGTACATGCGCACACTGTAAAATACATTACGCTCACTTTATGGGCACGGGCTCATCGATGACACGAGTAGACTGTATAGAATGACAATATCTGTGTGTTGTTATGCAGGGTCCATTTGATGTGTGCCGGAAGGTGTTTGCTTCAGGAGAGGAAACCGCCCACATGTCTTTGATTGACAAATCAGACCTTTTCTTTCATGACTACTCTTTAGCACCACTATTTGTCCAAGAAAACTACCTGCATGTCCGACCAGCTGCCGCAGGGTGAGTTTTTAGACATACACAATAGATAATCTCTATATTGTCCCACATTTGGAAGATAATCAATATTTATCTCAATACATTTGCTCTTTGATCGTTTAAAAAGGTGTTTTATTTACTCCACATGAAAAAGACATGATGTAAAAAAAAACAAGAAAAAAAATATTAGATTTTTTTTTGAAGAATAAAGAAACACATTATGTTGAACAAATGCAGATCTATAAATTTGTATTGACACCTAATGCATAGATCTATTTTGACATGAAATTGACATTTTACAGATATAATAGAAGATAGAAAAATATCAGATAGAAAAATAAGCTAAACTTTTAACATTAATGTGATATTTACAGAGTATTACAAATTTGATCTTGTCAGCAAAATGATTGCAATAATATCTCTTATATTTCATGTATCGGACATAGGGATGGGCAACGATTAATCGTGATTAATCACATCCAAAATAAAAGTGTGTGTTTACATAATATATGTGTGTGTAGTGTGTATAATTAATTTGTATATATAAATACCCACACATGCATGTATATCTTTAAGAAAAATGTGTTATTAATATATCAAATATTTATATTTATATATAATATTAATTGTGAATAAATATATATAAAATATATACATGCATGTGTGGGTATTTATATATACAAATTAATTATACACACTACACACCCATATATTATGTAAACACAAACTTTTATTTTGGATGCGATTAATCGCGATTAATCGTTGCCCATCCCCAATCGGATAGCCCTAACTTACACCAACAGTTTTGTTTCATAAGAATTTAAAAATTCAATTTTTCTACAGATGAATGCATGATTGTATAATTGTGACATTTGATGTTTATTAGGGGAAATCTGAAGAATCATCTGGTGTTGTTGAGTAAAACAGCAGACAGCATTTGCGATGGAGATTTAGTGGACAAACAGATTCGTTCCAAACAGACCTGGTCTCTGCTCCCTACACAGGTAACATACTTCCTGCCATTGTCTTCTCATCAGTGTTGACTAACAAATCCTCAGTCAACAGGCACCAAGATAATCATCAATAAAGTCATATTACTGCACAGATTTTTATCATAAAACGTGTTTGCATAGTAGTTTTGCATAGATCAGTGAAAACAAACTACGGTTTTTCATATATCTGTTTGTATTTATTTCCAGGCAATTTATGCAAGCGTGTTGCCAGGGGAACTGATGCGTGGCTATATGAGTCAGTTTCCAACCTTTCCCAGCTGGTTGGGCAAGTTCTCATCAGCTGGCAAACACAGCCGCATCATACAGGAGCTGGCTTCACACATGAGCCTTAAGTGAGAAAGCACACACTTCTATCTCCCTCTTCTTTCCTCCATGTCTGAAGTATGAAGTCTATAAACCTCATTTTCGCTTTCTTAAAAGCTTGCCTATTTCTTATCCTGCAGGACGTTAAGTAGTAAGGAAGCAATAAATCTGGATTACCTGCCATATTTGCGCTCCGCAATATTAGAGCCTCTTCAGTCCCAAGGTTCAGAAGGAGCCAATCAGAGCGTGAAGCTCATGGATGATTATGACATCATTAAAGAGGATGTTGATAACATGATGGAGATCAGCACATGGGGTGGACAGTCGGATCCTTATTCTAAGCTAGACTCCAAGGTGTGTGTGTGTGTGTGTGAGATTTTTCTTAGCATATTGTAGAGTTATCCTCCAGGACAAGAAACCGGTGGTCCAGCTGACAGGTCATTGCTTTGACAGATGCCTTCTCCATCTGAGTTAATTGTGTTTTAACAGGAAAACATCTGGAGGTGCTGTATGCCACACTTTATCCCCATCAGCTCTGTTTTTTTTTTCCTTTCTGCAGGTGAAAGCTGCATTTACAAGAGCCTACAATAAGGAATCCCATCTTACGCCGTACTCCTTACAAGTGGTTAAGAAAAGCCGTAAAGGTGCTGTTGACCCTGAGCTTGTAGGAGAGCTTGACGATGAATCTCAGGTCCAGGAAGAGGAAGAAAACGATGGGCTTACCAGAGATGCAATGATCAAGGTAGATATCAAAACAGCAATCCAGTAGCTTTCATTTCGACTTGTATATATCAGTTTTCCAATCATGTTTACTTAGTAACATTAGAGATGCACCAATTGACCGGCGCGTGACCACAGCCGGCCGATTTTCACGTAATCGGCCATGACCGGCAGATCAGTATGATATGCCGATTTTATGCCGCAACATTAGTACCACACGCACATGAAGAAAACCTCATGAATTACGGCCGTTTCATCCCTTATTTACACCGCAAGTGTATATTTTTGCTACGCTGCTCACGGTCAATTAAAGTGAAAGCTCACTTTTGATGAGGAAAAAAAAAAGGATTTAAAAGTGCCCAAAATGCACGGAATTTTCTTGTCGTGTGTTTTAACAAGAACTGGAGTAGGCTATGTCAGAAAAGAAAATGTACCCATTTAAACTTGTTTTTATTATTGAGTTTGAGTAAAAGTATATGCCAATGCATTTTTATATGCCAAAAGTATATATCAAACTTGTATATTTAAGTTCAGTAATTTCACTTTATCATTGCCATTTAAGTGAAATTACTGAACTTAAATATACAAGTTTGATAAAAATCATCATTAAAGAAGAAAATTTCAAATGGCATTTAGAGGCTTTTGCATCTGAACTCTTCATATATATATATATATATAGAAAATAAATATTTGTGTTATTGAAAATAAAAAAGTGGTTAGAAAAATAAAATCGGAATCGGCTAAAATTGGTATCAGCAGGTCAAACTCAATGAAAATCGGAAATCGGAATCGGCCTAGAAAATTGTAATCGGTGCATCTCTAAGCAACATCTCATTTGGATAACACTTAAACTAGTTCACCCAAAAAATGTAAATTATGTCATCAAAACTCGGCCTGATGTTTCACTTTTGTTCATCTTCGAAACTCATGAAGCTAATTTAATGAATTTAGATTTCTGTCCTTTCATTTAAAGTCAACTCAACCAAAACTTTGATGCTTCAAAAAATGTAATCCACCTATTAGTGGATAAATCCTGAAGAGACATGATCGCTTTATATAATCAGGTTTAATTTAGGCTTTCAGCGCTTACGTCATCATATTGTTCCAAACCTGTATAAATTCCCTCGTTCCTTGGAACATAAAAGGTGAATTTTTGAAGAATCTCCACTCTTTTTCATACAATTTCAAAGAGACTGAAGCTATCAGGCATTAAAAAGAGGTCACAAAAGCACCATAGAAGTTGGTCTCGATTGCTCTATATACCAAATCTTCTTAAACCACTGTGACTGGTTCATGGAGTCAGTGAGTAGAGAAACGGATCTGTTATGACTTCAGAGGAGTCTTAATAATTTAAAGAGAAAGCTTGGAACAACATGAGTGTGAGCTTGAGGGATAAATTCTGACCTTTTTTCCCCTTTGGGGTGAACTATCATTTCAAACATGTATAGTTTGTTGCAAGTGATAAAGTTTGTCAGAGAATCTGAGCCCACAGAAATCAAACACCCATCATTTGAGAATATAAATATTATAAAAGTCATTATTAACTTGATAAAATTAGCCAAATATTTAATGTGTACAGCACAATTGAGAGTACTACACTCATATTAGTTAGTAATAATAGCATATTTTACTAAGTTCAAATTCACCACAGAAAATGCAGAAGTAGCCTTTATATTCCATCAGCGCCTACATATAGGCAAAATTCCATTTATAAATCACTCAAAATGCAACTCCATTATTCAACAGATTTTTTTTTTCTTCACTCTCACAGCAGAAGAAAGCCAAACCAGCAAAAGACGTCAAGCAAGAGAAACCAGGGGCTTCTGGGAAGGGGAAAGGCAGGGGTAAAGGAAAGGCCAAGAACTGAGATAAACATAGGAGGGTCTGAGACAGAAACCCTTATTCTCTGTTTTCATAAAGATGTGAGTGGCTGAGTGACATCAGCTCTATAAACAGAACTTTTTTTGTCTGTGACTCATACTTGTGCACTTCCTGAAAGCCATCACTCAGCTTAAGCTGCTTTCAGCTGGGGGACCAGGCGCTGGGGGTGGACCACACATTTTCACAGAAGCCATTATATGGCTCACAATTCATCAAGCATATCAGACTTGACACATGCATCATACTGTTAACACATGACGTTAAGGCTATATTCATCTTAAAGGTAAACAGTATTAAGGGCACTTAGAGTCATCTCACTCGTGTAACACCCATGACAAAATACATGAGCATTTTAATATATTACCTTCACAATTACACAAACCTCTTCCACTAAAGATGTGGACACCCACTGTACTTTGCTGCATGTCAGCTTAGTAATCACATTGTAAATATGTATCTGTCATATTTGCTTTTTTCCTTTGTTACTTTGAATACTTGCAGATATATAAATAATACCTTTCTTAGTGTTTTCTATGGCAGCACTTTTGGATCTAGACTTATAGTGTTATAAAAATTATTCTGTAAATGACTTGATGTGTGCTATTTCAAAAATTAAAACGAGAATTATGTTGTAGACATGTATTGTGTTTGCTTGTCATAATTATCTCCATGATGTTAATCACAAGTATTGATAATATGGTTGTGGTTCAGAATGGTAAAAACAGCTAAATTGCTTATATATATATATATACAGTATCTGGGTTGACAACTCACTACATAGGTCCATGTATTTTATTTAACAGCAGTTAAAATTGGAGAATATTTAAGTCTAACATGAAGGCTTTAATAGACAATTATTTACAGCAATAAAATGATGTATTTTGTATACAGGTAAATTTACAGGAGAAAAAGACAACTGTTGATTGTCATTCTAACGGACACAGTGAAGTGCTGATTTACATTTAATGCGTCTGACAACATATACAAACACTATGTTTATAATTCATTAATGAGTTACAGTCAGAAAATACTTCAGTTTTGCTTTAAATAGTTTCATAAACATTTTTTTTGCATGATTTATGATAACCTAAATGTGTAACTGAACCACACTTATACATAATTAAGTATGCTTAATGTGAGCTCTCAGTGCTAGTTATTCCATAAGCAATGCCAGTTATATTCATATAACTCATACTGAAAACTGAAAATTAACGTACAATGGTAAAAATCTATGCAGTGAAGCACTACAGTACAAAAAGACTGATATGTAGTACGTGTCAAAGACTCATTGTTTAGTACTGCCAGTGGTTCTCAACCTCTTCGATGAGGATAAATTATCCACAATTTAAAGTTTCTCAATAAAAGTTCCTCAATAAAAACATTTACTGGGGGGAAAGACAATTTTAGTTTACATTTTTAAGGGGGTTAAAGATTTAAAGGGGTCATGAATTGAGAAATTACATTTTTCATTCAGTTTAAAGTGTTACCCAAAAATCATACTAAAATTAGAAGTGCACCCCAGGAAACATTATAAAACAATGCAGTTGATGACCCCTTTAATATATAATTTATATAAACAATATGTCATCCTGCAGCCCCCTGGTTGAGAACCACTGGTTTAGCACTAGTCTCTATTGGCTTCTCCCACTTCACACACTATTTAGATTCACATTTGATCTGAAATACCAGACTACATTTTGGGATATGTTTTCTGAGAAATACAGCTTGTAGAATCTGCCTCCCTCTGTGTTTAACAATCAATCATGCATTTGCTCCTTAAGGTCTTAAGAATCGTCACGTCACGCGAAAGTGACATTATCAGCATGTCGGTAGTCTTTTTGGAAGTACTTGTAGAGTAACTGTCCCGCTGGTTTGTCTAAGGAGCTCGACAGCCTCCGAGTGATTGACACCCTCCAGACTCTGTCCGTTTACTGTCAGCAGCTGATCTCCGCGACACAGACGCCCGTCCTCCACCGCAGCTCCCTGTGGAAACAGCGCTGTCACATACGCTTCACGCTCAAGTACACAAATAACATTCCTTTCTCAGTCAGAGGACTGTGTGTCGTGCACATGCTGCAATCCAAGCCAACTGAACGTGTGTTTGGGCATGTATTGATCTCATTGCAGTCAATAGATTTGGGACCTTTACCTTGGGAAATATGTTCTTGACATAGATGGGCAAGTCACCATGGGAACTGCCAAATCCTCCTACAACACTAAAGCCAAGCCCAGAAGAGCCACGTTCAAGAGTGATAGTCTGGAACTGGGGAGAACTCAAACACACACAGAAGACAAATAGAATTAAACTCGTTTTTTTTTACTAGAGACACCATACTGGAAAAGATTAATCTCTTGGTGCATGCAGTTAGAAAAGTTAGCAAGCATAACACTTCTATTGAGCAGGGTTGTCTGAATAGCCTGGGTGCCCTGGAGGGAAAGTCCTTTATCTACGTGTAGAATTCTGCTGACTCTAGAGTCTCACGGCTTTAAAGAACTGAACTCGTAAACTTGCTCCGAAATATCCACAAAAGCAGACATTTCAGTAAAAAGGGCAATTTTAATATATTTCATGGACTCATTGAAGGCAGCGTTGGGATGAAACCAGTAATAAATCTTAAATGCTAGCCTTAATCGTAGCCATCGTCAGCAGAATCTGAGCATAGTTGACTAAAGGTTCTGTATGATATAAATACCCACACATTCAAAAACTGTCATGGGCCGCATTCATTTTAGTGATGAAACTTTTCAGATATAAAGTGTAATGCAAACTGAGATACAGCTGGCAGTTAATTAAAATTACTTTCTAAATCTTATTGGAGTTCTTTATGAATAATGGGAGAATAAATATAATTTGCGATATTGTTTGTTTTTAACTTCTTCAATTGAATGTGTATCAGAGTATATACTGTACTGTATATACCCCAAAGGAAGAATGCTCACCAAAAAATAAAAACTAACACTGCTGCGAAGGTGTTTCTAATACAACAGCTGAGGGAGTGACGACAAATTTAACATCTTTATGCAAATCTAAAAATTATATTTGCTATTGTCTCCTGTTCAACACTATAGACCTATGACGAATTCCACTTCTAAGAATTCATTATCTTAATTATTTATGAGACTATTGCCAATAGGACTCCACTTCAGAATAGTTTGACAGTTTCTATATTGGAAACTATAAATATGTATTTCGAGTACCTCTGGTGGTTGAGGGTAGTGTAATTTTCTGCGAGTCCAGGTGATGAGTGAATTAAAGATGAGCGATCTTTACGCAAGCTAGCTCCATCTGCACAGCCACTTGGCATTACCTTTAATCAAACACACAGAGTGTGACATCCACGGAAAGATGAGCTCTGTGTACAATGATTGAACATTTGATTATGTTTTGTATCTGAAATGATTTGATATGTGTCTGATGGTACACACCTGCAGTGTGACGGCTCCGCTGCTATTTCTCATGAGGGAACTTGCCTCGGTGACTGAGATGCTTTCTGTTGATGTACCGTTAATGCTGATGACTCTGGCACCCAACTGAAAATTCAATTCAGTTATTTATTCATTTTTGAAGATAGTGGGTTGTTGTTAAAAGGATATTCAGTTTGGTGTTTTTGTAGTAGTAGTAGTTATACCAGTTATTTGCTTGATAAACAAGTATAAAATAAAACTGGTATGGAAAGTATAGCATCTAATGTTCACAACAACATTCAGAAGTTCGGGGTCATTTTTTGATTGTTTGGTTATTGGTCTCTAATGCTCACCCAGGCTACTTTTATTTGATCAAAATTACAGTAAAATAGTAATATTGTGAAATATGATCACAATTTAACCTTCAAATGGTCTTTGTTTCCTGTTTACACTTCTGGGCTTCGGGGTCTATACGAGCCCAACAATTGATTGAGTAATTCTACAAAAAATATACGAAGAGTTCAGATGCAAAAGCCTCTAAATGCCATTTGAAATTTTCTTCTTTAGTGATGATTTTTATCAAACTTGTATATTTAAGTTCAGTAATTTCACTTAAATGGCAATGAGAATTACCTATTAATTGAACTTAAATATACAAGTTTGATAAAAATCATCATTAAAGAAGAAAATTTCAAATGGCATTTAGAGGCTTTTGCATCTGAAGTCTTCATACATTTTTAATTATACAAATAATATAGATTTTTTTTGTTTACTTCTCATCTATTCATTAATGCTGTATTTTTGGAGATATAAAGTACTTTTGTATCCATATACCACACAATTCCTCAACTACACCATTAGCTTTAGCATTAGCATTTAAAATGTTATGTTTTATGATACATTGCATGCTCTAGTATTAGGCCTTCATTTCTGTGTAAAAAGTTTCAGATTTATGGCGGATTTGTTTTTTTTCTTTTGACACATGAAGAAAATATATTTAGTTTTTTTCTCATTTCCCATTCATTTCAATGTGGGGTCATATTGACCCCGAAGACCAGAAGTGTAAACATTTTTCAGAACAACCGAATCAAGCCCAGTTTTTGTGTGTGTGTATTGATAGAAAATGTATGAGAAGTCACAAAATCTTATTCCACTAAGATGAAGGGAACCTTTTTTTTTTATTAAGTAAAAGTCGATTGGAGTCGTATAGATCCCATGACCCGATTGAGTGCTACAAAAAGTTTTTTTGTACATTTTTTCAAGAGTCTTTGACGAACAATTTAAAAGAACAGGATTTTATTTAAAACGAAATGTTTTGTAACATTAGAAATGTCTTTACTGTCACTTTTAATACATTTTATGCATCCATGCTGGATAAAAATAATTTCTTTCTACTTCCTGACCCCAAAGTTCCGAATGCAGTTTGAAGTATATCTTGAAGTTTCACAATGATCAACAATTTCTTTTTTTGGAAATCATTTTTTGGTATTTTTGCCTTTAGGCAAGACATTTCATACACTATGGCAATTCAGAGTGCTTTACAGTAAGGAATTAAAATAATCAAAAAATAAAAAGTATAATTAAAAACAGTTCTAAAATAAATTAAAAGAGATATATGATACAGATATAACATTAATTAAAAGAGTCAAAATAGATGTGGTTTATTTGGATAGTACACTCTTAAAGATAAAGATTCCAAAAAATAGTTTTTTTGCAGAGATGACACTAAAGAACTATTTTTGTGTCAATGAGGAACTTTTCAGTGAAATGTTCTAAAAGAACATGAAAGAGAGTCTCTTTTCTTGGTTTGAAGAATGTTTTAATAATCTTAAATACTTTTCCACTATTAACCCTCCTGTTGCCCTCAAATCTGATAACACTTTTTACCCTCTGGGGTCAATTTGACCCCAGTAATTAAAACCTCCACAATATGTTTATTTATTTTTTTTTACAAAGGTTTGTCTCAGTTAATTTATGTCTTTGTTGACTACTTAAGTAACATTTTAAGTTGACATCCACCCACCCCCCCTCCCAACCCCACCTAACCCATTATACATCCAGAATACCCATTACACGACTATGGACAAATTTACAAATCAACATAAAATCTTACTGATTTGACCTAAAATTGGAAAAGTATAAATACATCTGGTGTTTTATTTGTTTTATAATGTTTCTAAGTATAGATTTTGTAATTTATAACATTTGGAAAGAAAAACTATTTATTTTATCAAGGATAGTAACACGAGTTATGTTTGGGGTCAATCTAACAAAAATTATGTTTTCCCTCCCCCATGGCACGGGAAACATCAAAGTTCTCACAAAAATTATGTTTTCCCCTCCCAAATGCACAGGAAAGAATTATTAGTTATCTTGAGAATTACATGTCATGTGAACTACTAGTAGTTCTCGCAATACTACAGATATGGTTATGCTTGGATAGAGCCCTAAAACAGAGGGACGTTTTTTTGAAAATGATATTGAATATGTAAAATTACAATGAACATTATAAATTCAAATTATAACATGTTATAATGACCTCAATATAACAACCAAAACAAATGTGTGTGAAATTTTAATATTTCTTCTGTTTTATTATACAACTAAAAGAGCCTGGGGTCAAATTGACCCCAAGGAACACCGATGCTACAAAATTTGTACAGGACTTTGAAAAAATATTAGCAGGTTAATTTTAAGTTTACAGAGTTGTCCCCATAAAATTAGGAAAAGTCATTCAATTTGAAGCAAAAAAATAAATAAATACAATTATGTTTTTACAGACGTTAAACATTGAATGGGGTCAAATTGACCCCAAGGATAATAAGAACCTTTAGGTAAATGGAAAGATTGCATGGATTTTAAAGGTTTCACATGGAACCATTTTTCATGTTGTACAGAGAAATTCTAAGAAATGTTTCTATGCACAGAAAGAGAAAAAGAGAAAGAGAAAGAAAAAAAAGAACTGGGAAAGAACCACAAGCTGGGACTCAAACTCATGTTGCCCAAAGTGCTTCAGGCCCAATTCCCACAGTCTCAAGCGTTCTCATTCACTCCTTACCTGCAGAAGTCCTGAGCGTGCTGCAGGTGTGGTAGGGTCCAGGTTGGAGATGTAAATCATTGGATCTCCCAGTGTTTCTCTCAAACTCAACTCCACAGATTCACACTCATGCTGGGACAGAATCATACCAACCTTATATTTTCTACTGGATCATACAGTTACTGCTGAAACGTGCCTTAACATTTTTTACTGCATAAAAAAGGGCTCAGAAAACCAAACCCACCTTCTGAACGGTGACAGTTCTGATGTCAACGTTCCCATCCAAAGCTGTGGAAAAAGATAAAAACTCATTGATGGTACTGATGAATAGAACTGAATAGTGAATAATTATCATGTGACAGACACTCTTACAGTCACGTGTGCTGAGAGAAGAGAGAAGAGGGACGTCCACTTCGCCCACCTGCCACAACAAAAATAGAACACTGGCTCTCAAACACTGCGTATAGACTGCGCGCCATGTAGATCTGATAATTTGTGCTTGTGTGCTGTAAATATGGCATGTGTATGGTATGCATAATTAAATCTCCATCATACATTAGCTAGCATTCAAAAGATTTAGGGTAGGTAAGATTTTTTTTAATGAAGGCAGGTTCACCAAGTCACCAAGAAAACAACAGCAAAAGATTGTTAACAAAAAAAGTTGACACCACAGAGTAATGGCTAACTAAAGCTCTTTATTTCAATTCTCTTCCAAGGTTTTTTTGTTTTTTTTTTCAAGTCAAGTCACCTTTATTTATATAGCACTTTTTATAAAACAAATTGTTTCAAAGCAACTTTGCAGTGATAACAGGAAAATAATGCAACAAAGTTTGTTTCGGCTGTACAGCAGATTTAGAAGAAAATAGTGTCATGGTCCAGCTTAATTAAGTTCACTGATGGTTACATTTTTTTTATAAAAAAGTTATTTATTTTGTTTATTTATATATATATATATATATATATATAGCCACTCTAGAGAAAACAAAACAGAGATGTCATCGTCCAGCTCAATTCAAGCGTGTACGTCACTCATTGATTGCACAGAGATTTCGCAAGTGTTACCTTTCACTGTGAAGATCTAAACATAATTTAGATATACAGGAAATCGCAATGGAAGACGTTTTCGATATATCAACAGACAATGTTGAATTTTTTCATGACGTAAAATGTTTCATGTTTCGTGACGTAACTTTTGTGACGTACAAGCGAGAGAGATCACTTTCTGCGCTTGTGCAGACCGAACGCCCGCACCCTCAGATCACTTGGACGTGGCTGTGGTAACAAGAGGTAAAAACGATATAAATACTGTTCGTTTTCTCACACAAACCGCTCATTTCGTGTCTTAGGCCATCAATGTGTACTTACATTTATGAGTCATTAAATCGTGTTTAATTTGGACTTCTCTGTGCATGCTCTTTGAGGTGGTGACCATAGACCTACATTATATGACTGACAGACAACGACAGTTTGAACTAAAAATATCAAAATTGAAACTACTGAGGAAACAAAGACACCTACATCTTGGATGCCCTTGACGTAAGCTAAAACATACCAAAAATTAATTTCAAAGTGAACTATCCCTTTAAAAAGAGCATATTTTTAATAGAAATATTTGCTTAAATTATAACACATGCATATTTATTGTTTTATATTAAAAGTACTGCATAGCAGGACTAATCCAGTTGTCTTGTGTAATGCGTTTACCTGATCTCCATATGATGAAGCTTTAAAGCGCGCCACCTCCAAAAACACAGAACCACTACAGCTCTGCAACACACACACACATGGAGAGGACATAATTAGTCCTATTATAATTTTGAAAGAAATGCACTAATTACTGCGTTCATGAGTGAAGTGTGTTTGGGTGCACCTGCAGTAGTGCGCTGGCGTAGTCCTGGGATGCAGCTCGGATGTCCTCCCCATTCACAGACAAAATCTGGTCACCTAGCAACAGTCTTCCATTCAAGTCTGCCACCCCTCCCCTTGTTATCTCAGACACAAAGATTCCAGTGTCATTCCTGCAAGACATGCAGAAATTGATGAATTCTGAAAACACTTGATTCGATGTATTATTCATGGCCTACTGAATAGTGTGCAGTTCTTCAATGTAATTATTCCTTTAGAATAGCCCACCTTTTACCCACAATGCAAAGCCCTAGTCCCTGTCCTGGTTTGCAGTTCAGTTCCACACTGAAGAGGTCCCACATGTCCTCGGGTGTGTGGTTCTGCAGGGTGTGTGTGGAGTGGTTCTCTGTCACATGGTCTCTGTAGATACACAATTGCACACGCTGTGGACTCAAGCGCAGGACACTCAAGGCCTCCTCATGAGTGGCCATTCTCAGGTCAATGCCGTTCACCTGGTAGGAGGAGAGAAAAGAATGGAGAAGAGCCATTCAAAGGACCTTGGACAAGTAGATTCAATATTTGCCTGTTTGGATACTCAGTTCAGTTTAATCAGTCCATAAACATGTGCACTCTACTTTGTTGATGTGATTTTTTTTTTTTATAATTTAAGCCATGCATTCACAGTAATGATAGTTCCTCTATGTACTACATTTGTGCACACTTTGGGTCAATGGAAGTTCTTTTTGAAAAAATCAATAAACTACATTCAGTTCAATTTCACTGGTGAATGCTGAAGTTCTGTACCTCTAGTATATGATCTCCTGCACACAACCGGCCATCTCTGTGTGCCGCACCATCCTTGTTCACTTCATGAATCACTATTACTCCCTGGAGGGAAGGGAAGAAAGAAAAGAAAGAAAGAAAGAAAGAAAGAAAGAAAGAATATATTGACAGTGTTTAAGTGAAAAGTTGAATTGAAAATTTGACAGTTATTATTTAACTCATGCTGGCATTGACCTAGAAATGTATGCAACATGTTTTAATAATTAATTTTTAATTAATTAAAAAAATATATATTTTTTAATTCAAAAGTGTCTATTTATCTTCACATAAAATAGCCCCAGATATGTGGGGAAAGAAAAAATATTGATTTTGATCCAATTTTGATTTGAAAAAAAATAATAAAAAAAAATAAAATAAAAAAATACAAACTTAATTGTTCTGGTTTTCTGGTGAATTACTTTTTCTATTAATTGATAGATGAGTCGAAATTATTTCCTGCACTAATCAACAGCATCTCATATAAGTTTAATTTGACATGGAATATTTCTTTAAATGGATAGTTCACTCAAAAAAAAATAAAAATAAAATAAATGAATAAATTAGAGTAGTTTCAAGAAGAACATCAATTAGTAATGATGTTAAATTGAGCCGGTTTCCCACTCAAAGCTATTGTACGGCTTCTGAAGACCTGTGCTATATAGTGTGTGAGCCACTTTTACTGTGAATTCCATTAGAGCACGAAAATAACAATGCCAAGGTATTGGGTTCAATTCCCAGGCAATGCATGAACTGATAAAATGTTTACGATAAATTCAATCTAAGTTGCTTTGGATAATGCATAAATGCTTTATGTCATTTTTGCAGTATGCCAGACCCATATTCACTATAATGATTCATTGTAAAGAAAAAGACAGTGTGAATTTTCTTCTAAACTCCTTTTCTGTTCCAAGAAAGAAAGAAAATTTAGGTTTGCATTCAAGATGCTTCATTGTATTGACATTGTGAAGTCTAATTTACTCAGTTTCCTTTTTAATTTCTCACCAGTAGTGTGTTGCAGCCTCCTACTATGCTGAGGCCGAGCCCCGTGGAGCCTTTGCAGATATCAATAGTATTTATACAGCCAGCTATGATGGGACATGTAAGGGGGTCCGAGCTCACAGAACACTGGGCCAAGAAAGAAGTGCTGCGAGAGCTCTGATTGGCTGTTGAGCCGCAGTCAACTGATGAAATGCCAGATGATGGAGGAGTGCAGCAGCTGAGGGGCATGTGACTGGCAGGATGACAGGAAGGCTTGTGATTGGATGTGGCATTGACTTGAGCAGGAAGACCAATATTGAGGCTCTCTGAGGAGCGAGATTTCAGTTTATCCTCTCTGCTGATCCTTCCATCCTATCGGCAAACAGAATCATGAGAACGTAGAGAATGAGAACGAAGCAGGCAGATATTTTGTGTCATGTGTTTGTCTAACATTTGGTTTGACTGTTTTACCTGTGATAAAACTGAATGTTGACCTTCTCTGACCATATTCATATACATGCCAGGAGATTTAACAGGACAGTTGTCCATCTAAACAGATAAAACTGTCATGACATAAGATATAGATGTCCAGTGAAGCAAATATGTGGTAAAGGAAGTTAAATTAAAGAGTATTTCAGAGTAAATTAAAGAATTAAATAAAGAATTTTAATTTAGAAGTATTATAGTTTATTTATATATGTGTTTGTGTGTATGTGTGTGTGCAAGTGGGTGTATGGCTCCATTGCCTCCTTTACTGGTCCTGTAGTCAGTTGTTTCTGTGCCTCTTTATTCCTGATGAGAAAATTAAACATGTGAATCAAAATATTACAGTACATATACAGTACACATAAAGATAAAAAAAAAAGAGACTTAAGTGAAAATACTTCCAGTTTGATTTCAAATGTCTTACAGTATGTTCATTACAAATGACAAATGTCACATATTTTACATTCATCTTGGTCTCACACTTTTGGACATCATAGAAGTAATATACATAGGCTACCTACAGTATATGATGAGTATATTATAATGCAAGTGTTAGTCTGCATTCTTCCTGAGAAAATGTATGCATGTCACCTTGTGAGCAGAATCGTAACTTTAGCTGAAACATTGTTGATGATTGCTGTTGCATTCTGGTGACTGCGTCCATACAGCACTTGTCCATTTATCTGCAACATATACACATTACCATGAAGAAGACGAGACCTCGACCTTTGATAAGAGACATATTTCATGAGTTTTGCTCTTTTAGTTATGTTGAAAAGATTGGGGAAAATTGTAACATTTTACAGGCAAGATCATATTATCAAATTTAACCAATAAACCAATCACACAAAAAAATCAGTGAGTACAGTGGTAAAACTTGAAAAAATATATGTAATTTATACGTGTAAGTTTAAAAAAATACTTAAGAGACTAGTAATATGATACTATACTATAATTCCTTTATTTATTTCGATTAGTTTTCACTCTTGTATGGTACTTTAAAGTAAAAGGCTGAGTGGGATTGATTGTATTTATTTGCTAATGATATGACAATGATTATAACAATCTAAAATAAGCTAAATCATTGTTCATACCTTATTCATATATATATATATATATATATATATGAAGAGTTCAGATGCAAAAGCCTCTAAATGCCATTTGAAATTTTCTTCTTTAATGATGATTTTTATCAAACTTGTATATTTAAGTTCAGTAATTTCACATAAATAACAATTAATAGGTAATAATCATTGCCATTTAAGTGAAATTACTGAACTTAAATATAAAAGTTTGATAAAAATCATCATTAAAGAAGAAAATTTCAAATGGCACTTAGAGGCTTTTGCATCTGAACTCTTCATATATATATATGTACACATTGTTCATATATATATATATATATATCTTATTGCTTTTATAAAACAGTTCCCACACAATAAAAATATTAAAGTAAAAAAAATATGTATTAGTGCAACTTCCTTGAAGTAAAATCACCTTCCTTCCGCTAGAAACAAAAAAATAGTCCCTGACCGTGAACAACAACAACGATCCAATTCAAATTATGTTGCATTACTTTTGTTACAATCAAACCTCAATCAAATATTTTATGATAGCTACCAGTGACAGTATAAGCAACTTTTGTTCATGGTAACTTTTATTCAACAACCTACAGAAAAAAAACGATAATAGTTTGAATTCAAAGACAAGAAACACAGGAAAAATGTACATTAAAATCAGTGTTTTTTTTTTTTTTAAATGATCTCAATGTATAGTGTTACACTGGACTTGTGTCTCCTATGCATCAAGAGAAACTGAATAGGTTTGCGTTCTAATAAAAAATATATACAGCATAAAGTCTGGAATAATTTGACTGGGCAAATGAAAAGTTTCTGTTGTTCAGTCAGAGTTCAGTAGGTGGTTCTCACCTCCAGTAGTTCATCTCCCACTCTGACCCGACCATCTGCAGCAGCAGCCCCGTCTGGTTTGATCTCTGACACGTACACGCTCATTCTTCCACGCACTCCATCTCTGTTTTCTGACAAACACAGTCCCAGTCCAGAGCTGTATGAGCCACAGTCCAGATCAAACATGTGAAGCTCTCCAGGCAGACTGCCATACCTCTGCTGCATACGGCCTGCTTACACACACACACAAACATGTCAAAACATCCAGACAAAATAATACAGACACATTAGTGGACCCACTAATAGAGGCATTGAATTGTATTCTGAGCTAAGAATATTTTTGATTCCCTGTGATCTAAGGCTATTTTAAAACTTTCTGCATTTCTGCAAACAAAATGGCAAGAATTTTTCATCGCGGGGACGGTTCCCAGCTCCTCACAATGTAGGAGATTTCAGGTTTGGTTTTTAGGGGGTATACCCCCTAAAAACATGGAGTATGTTTTGTCACACACAAACATACTCCAGTAAGAGGCTTGCTCCTGCTCGCTGTGATGATGTGAAGCCTCTTCTGGCAGGGGTGGTCTCTCTGGAACTTTCTGCACTCCATCTGTTTCTGTGTTCACTGGCCTAGAGGGCAGTTTCAGGAGGGGAGGAACTGAATGTGGAGGCTTCCCCAATTTCCAGTCTTCTGTACGCTACAAATGCAATAAAAAGAGTGGTTGTATTCTTCAGAAATAGAATCAGTTCTCTATTAAAATCTCAACAGTATATCACAAAAATCAGACAATCCAAATATATATTTTCTTGTTAATAAATACTGACGCAGCAATTTAATTTGTGCAAATAAACATGGTAAATAAAATTTGTTCCCTTTCATTGTCACTCTGAGTTCCGTCGGATGACGACGAATGGGGTTTCGCTTAGAAAGCCTGACAGCTTCGCTCAATATAAAACAAGCCAATGGCAAAGAAATGCCATAGGTCTGCAGAATTTGCATAGCGTAACTCCGCCTTACCTCGTGAGTATATAAGGGGGACGCTGTCCACAATGCAGACATGTTTTCGCTTCGGAGCCAAGAGTGATCTTCATTTCACAAGCCTCCCTGTATTGTCAGCTTTTTCACAAACAAGCAAATTCTAGGTGTTGGTGTGATGGCGAAATCCCTACGAGTACATACTTCCTGCTTATCTGTGCAGTGGTTTGCCAGTGAGTGTGTTCTCCCCGGGCGCTTCAGCATCCGAGTTTTCTCTCTCTCTAAAAGAGCTTGCACGCGGCACATCTTTTTTTTAAAGCCTGTGATGAAACCCCTCTGATGGGCACGAGCGCTGTCTAGTGTGTTTGGGCATTGATCACGCTAGAGCAGCGCTCATGGATGATTCATGTTCTCTCTGTGGGAACATGACCATCGCATCACTAAGGTCGAGACTCAGTGATCTCGCAAGATGAGGGTGACGGTGTGGAACAAGGTGCCGACTATCAGTCCGTGCCCTGCACCTACCCCTCCCATGACGGTGCCCGCTAGCGTCCAGAGGATTCCCACAGGGACATCTTCGGATGTCCCGCGGGTTTCTTTTGGTGCTACAGACGATGATGCAATGTCTGTCGCTGCATCACATGTTGGGCAGGATTCGTCAAGTGAAGACTTGGTGGCGCTGTCTCCTTCGGGTGTGCAGTCGTTTGTCGACTCTGATCTCAAGATGACTGCAATGCTTTCCCAGGCAGCCGTGAGCATCGGGTTAGAGTGGACTCCTCCACCCTGTCCAGAGCGATCATGGCTGGACGATGGGTTTTTGGGCACGGCCGCCGATTGACGTCCACGGCCAACCCCAATACCATTCTTCCCGGATGTGCATGATGAAATCTCGCAGTCCTGGAAGAACCCCATGTCTTCCTGCGACTGCTTGTTGATTTCATCCACCTTTCTTCCCCGCGATGGAGCAGCTGCCCGTGGGTACACTGGGCTGCCCCTGGTTGAATGCTCTGTTGCGATGCAACTGTGTCCTTAGGGTGCTTCTTCTCGTGGCGAGCCTATCCAAAGCCTGTAGATTTTCGTCTAAGTTAGTGGCGAAGTCTTACAGAGCGGCGGGACAGACGGCTGCCTCTCTACATGTTATGGCCAGTCTGCAGGTCTACCAGGCCCAGATGCTCAGAGACATGCACGAGGGCAGGACAGACCCAGGGCTCTTTGATGAGCTGTGCGCCGCCACCGACCTCGCTCTCCGGGCGACGAAAGTGTCCAAACGCTCCCTGGGTTTGGTGATGTCTATGTAACGGACTTGGTCAGGCGATGTAAAGGACGACTCAGGATATGAAGACTTTCACAATTTATTGACTCCCTGTAGAGTACAAATGCACATTAATTGCCTTCTGGCTTCCTTTCACAGCACCTCTGCTTCCCTCAGTAGTGCAAAACGAGACTGAGGGAGACGGTACGCTACGGAAGCTTAGAAGGAACAGAAAGGATAGTGTGCAGGAAGGGTCATTTCCGCAGGTAATATTCGCAAAAATAAAAATACATGAAAATTACTCAATGAGATAAAATTCACAAATACTCAAAACCATTAAATGATAAATAAAAACAAAGATGCTAATTTGAAAATAAGAATTACTAAAAGTGCATTTTTAACTCCGTTACATCTACAGCCGTGGTCCAGGAGAGACATCTGTGGCTGAACCTGGCTGACATGAAGGATGCCGAGCAGTCCCAGCTGCTAGACACCCCCATGTCCCAGGCCGGCCTCTTCAGCAGTGCAGTTTAGGAACCAACAGTTCCAACTGAGTTCCAACTGAGGCCATTAAACACATCTTGCCCCACCTACCCGCTGCTGCCTCCACTCAGTCGGCCAGCCAGGCGCCTCAGCCTGGGCGCCCTCCTGCGACTGCCGCCCCTCCCATCCGGCACAAGCAGCAGCCTTCAACCAAGCTGTGGTTCGTGTGACCCCACTGGCACATCTTGCCCAGTCGACCCGCTGCTGCCTCCACCCAGTCGGCTGGGCAGGCTACCATCACTTCCGCTGGAGCGTCGTCCATGAGACATGTCTACGCGTTGAAGTAGAACCTCTTTGTCAACTGGTGCTCTTCTCACCGAGAAGACCCCCGGAGATGTTCGATCAGTGTCATGCTTTCCTTCCTTCAAGATGGGTTAGAGCAAAGGCTGTCTCCCTCCACCCTCAAGGTCTATGTCGCTGCTATTGCCACACACCACGACCTTATCGAAGGTAAGTCGGTAGGGAAGCACGACCTGATCGTCAGGTTCCTTAGAGGAGCGAGGAGACTGAATCCTCCTCGCCCTCCTCTCGTACCTCTCAGTGGTCTTAACTGCCCTGCAGAGTGCTCCCTTTGAGCCTTTGCAATCAGTTGAGCTTAACTTCCTGTCAATGAAGACAGCGCTTCTGATTGCATTGGCCTCCATCAAGAGGGTAGGGGACCGGCGTGCATTCTCCGTTGACGAAGCATGCCGGGAATTCGGGCCGGGTTACTCTCACGTGATCCTGAGACCCCGGGCCTGGATATGTGCCCAAGGTTCCTACCACTCCCTTCTGGGACCAGGTGGTGACCGGAGGAGGCAGACCAAGCCTTGGTACTGCTCTGTCCACTACGTGCTCTTCGCATCTATGTAGACAGGACGCAGTGTTTCAGGACCTCAGACCAGCTCTTTGTCTGTTATGGTAGGGAGCTGAAGGGAAAGGTTCTCTCCAAGCAAAGGTTGTCCCACTGGATAGTGGACATCATTGCTTTGGCATACCAACAGCAAGGTCAACCGTGCCCCTTGGTGTGACTGCCCACTCCACCCGGAGTGTGGCATCCTCTTGGGTTCTAGCGCATGGCACCTCGCCAACAGACATCTGCAGAGTCTGTGCGACACCCAACACATTTGCCAGATTCTATAATCTCTGAGTGGAGCCTGTGTCCTCTCGTGTACTCGCTTCAACCAGCGAGTACTGGAACCACTCAGGTGTCTTCACTTGCTCGCCACGGACTAGATACGTGCCATTTTCTCCTCAGGTGAGCCTCATGAGCCCTGAGTTCCTCCAGTACTCCTGACGTTGGAGCTAGTGTCTATTGCCTACGCGTCGGCTAGCTGTCTCCCGTGTGCATGGTCCCTCCCCTGAGCGACCCCCACATGTGTATTTCCATTGTAAGACTTTCTGAGCATGTGTCTTTCCCTCGGCAAGCCACCCCTGGGTGCATCCTTCGGGTCATATGTTTATTTTCTAAGTCCCCCCTCCAAAACTATGTGATATGCTCCCCAGTGTACCTTGGTATTCCTGTGCTGAATATGAGTCCTTCATCTGTGCCAGTCTCACGACAGGGATCTCAGATTTATGCAGGGCACTGGAAGACAGCTGAGAAGGTGGCGTGATTAGACTGGTATCCCATTTCGTCATTCGACAGAACTCGGAGTGACAACGAAAGGGAACATCTCGGTTACGAAAGTAACCCTCGTTCCCTGAGTAGGGAACGGACACATTCCGTCTTCCTGCCACTTTTGGCTGTGCCGCTGGGATCGCCTGACCTCAGTCTTGGCTCCTCAGCGAAGAAACATGTCTGCATTGCGGACAGCATCCTCCTTATATAGTCACGAGGTGAGGCAGAGTTACGCTATGCAAATTCTGCAGACCCATGGAATTTTTTTGCCATCGGCTCGTTTTATATTGTTCCAGCTTTTACAGCAGGATGGATTCTGATTGGCTGTCAATGTTTTTCAGTCATCAGATGGAAAAAAAATCATTATGAAAGTGAGTCCAACAATATTGTTTTTTAGTGTCGTTATTGTTGCTGTGTGTTCTTTTTACCAAGGCCATGTTTTTCAGCATGCACATCATACTTATATACATATTTTAGATTATTACTATGGAAACACACATTACAGACCTTAAAGGGAATAGGGCTGAAGGGGTAGGTTGGTAAGAGATTATTGAGGATCTTGGGATCCTAAAGAGGAGATAAACTATCATTTTACCATATACATCTCCTAAAATACACTAATGATATTACACATAATAGCATAAGCAGAAATATACCTGATGATTTGGACAATTTGATTTTGATACATTGTCATCTTCAGCACAGTTGCCAGGAGCTGTAACCTGGGCATAGAGAGGAAATAAATGTTTTATGTACTCATGTTTTGTCCAACGCATTCTCATCCTTTAACGTCATATAGAACGCTATATGACAAAACGGCGCTATACTACGCACATGGCACCCGTTATCGTTAATATAACACGCGAACCCAAGACGTTATAAATCCTTTAGCATGAATATGACACGCACACCCTACCCCACACCTAAACTTAGCCCTCACAGCACGTGTTATATTAACGATAACGGGTGCCATGTGCGTAGTATAGCGCCGTTTTGTCATATAGCGTTCTATATGACGTTAAAGGATGAGAACGGGCTGGTTTTGTCTTGTCTATTGTATATTCTAGCACTAAGTATGAGTATTTGTGAATGTGTGTTCATGTGTGTCTCTGTGTTACCTGAGGACTCTGCACTAGTAGCTCTACTCTGTCTCCTGCCTGACGAATTGCCTCAACAGCTTCTTCATGAGTGAAATCACTCACATCTACACCTTGAACCTGTCAAATACAAAAATACAATGTGTGAAGTTCCTTCTCCCAAGTCTCCCATTCCATTCAATACTTCTACTTTCAAGTAAACCAGTTTGCCCCAGATTTTATTTAAACTAATCTTGTTATCTAGTTTATTTAGGTCACAGTAGGAGTGATGCATTAGCTTATTATGACCAGCAGATGGAGATCATTAAACGTCACCCAATTCCCACCACTGTTCATCAACACTAACTAGCCTCAGACTCATGCCATCTAATGAATATTTCGCACAATCAATCTGACAGTCTGATTGTGATTTTATTTTCTGTACCCACTTTCAAGTTGTTTCAAACTTAGTATTTTTTTTCCTTTCGCAAAAAGTGAATTTTTGTAAAATCTCCAGCCCTGACCGTTTCAGTATAATGAAAGGGAATGCACTAGGGCTATCAAGCTCCAAATTTACAAAAAAGGGAAAAAGAGAAAAAAGAAAGAAAAGAAAAAGAGTAGTTATTACAGAACTAATACATATTGTTGTTACTGTGTAATAACACAAAATGTAAGGCATAACATTAGTTGACTACATGTACTTACTAAGGGTTAAGTTAGGGTTAGGTTTAGGGCTATTTACTTGAAATTATGCACACTGAAAAAAAATATGATCAATAAGTTATGAAAATGGATGTTTTTGCATTGCTTTAACTCATCAAAATAAATTAAGCAATTTTCAAACTTTTAAAGTTATACAATATTCAACTAATTTGCTTAAAGTCAGTTTTAATGTAATTTAAGTTGAAATTACTTAAACATCCAAGTTGATTGCACTTAAAAATGTAAGGCAGCACCTTTTTTACAGTGCAAAATTTATTGTTATTGTTATAAGTTCATGTAAAGTGTAACTACACAATAAAATATAATTGAAAAATTAATTAAATGAAAACTATCATTTAAATTTATATTAAATGCAATAAGCTATTAGTCTTGAGTAAATTAAGTAAAACTTAATTTGACATTACAAAGTTCACACTTTCCAAAACTGTATTTGAGTGCAGTAAGAAACAGTCATAAAAGTCAATTCTCTTTAAGGATATTTAAGTGGCTTTTTAAAATTAATATTATATTATCTGCATAGGACAGTTTTTGTAAAACATATACTTTGATTTGAAGTACAGTACAAACGCACATTCGATACAATCAAGTGCATTTCATCAGATAACTAAGAGAATGTACGTTTATGATATCTTTTTGGTTCTTTTTGCATCCTTTTAAATGCTTGGCAGCCCAAGTTCTCATTTACTTTCTTTTTAAGCATGATCAGAATAATAAAAGAAATAAATAAAGAAATAAAGAAAGAAAGAAAGAAAGAAAGAAAGAAGAGAGAGAGAAAGAAGAGAGAAAGAAAGAAAGAATAACTTTTTTTGGTGCAGGTTTGGGTAACACTTTATTTTACAATGCCCTTGGTTACATGCACTTACTGTAGTAACAGCGACATATTCATAATTACAAGCAACTAAATCTAAACCAAACCTTAATCCTAACTCTAACCCAATAATAAGTAAATGCTGTTAATTTAAATTACTCAATATTTGTGCAATTACATAGTGACAAATAAACCATAAACTAAAATGTTTTGATTTACGCCTGAGAAACAATTGGTACTTTCAATGTTCTTCTGATCACAATTCTGTTCTTCCAGTTTCTTCAATGTTTTTTTGTACAAATAGACTGTTGTGTCATTATTTGAGCAAGTTTTTTTCTGCTATTGGTATTTCAGACATTGTCTCAGTGAGCAGTTCTTGGCTTGAATAAGCACTAAAGTAGAGCAGACCAATAGTTAAAAGCTACTCTTTAATAAAAATACACACACATACCTGAAGAATTATGTCTCCTTTCTTTAGAGTGCTGTTGTGTGCAGCTGGACTGTCCTCCGCGATATGTTTTATGAAGATGCCCCGTCTCATTTCTCCATTGCTCAGTCGACTGCCCATACCACGACCCCCCACCACACTGAAGCCAAGGCACATGCCCCCCGCCCTAAATAATGTTACTCTATAGGACACCGGAAAATAACCTCATTACACATGAACATACTAAATGTGAATGCGGCAATATTTTGTTATTTAATTGATACCTTCTAGGCTGACTCCATGAGCTACAATCCTTCCCATGCGTGTCTTCTTCATCTTTTTGCCTGTCTTTTTCTCTCCTTCGTCTTTGTCCGTTTTCACTTTTCAAGGCCGTTTTTTCATCCTTCACTTTTTTTCCCAGTCGTTCACTGTCCTCACTTTGTTTTATTTGACTGTGGTTAACTATTCTTTCATTCTCTTCTTCAGCTTGAGTCTTTCCATTTACTCCTTTTCCATCAACTGTACTTTGCTGTTCCGAAATGCATTCTCTAACACAAAGCAAATATGCATTAAAACACCATAAGAAACAACAAAACATACAGAAAAAAATAATTAAATATCTCAGATTCCTTACAGGGGTTCAAAAGGAAGGTTCTGTGAGAGCCGGGAATGGACAGTAGCTGTTCTGTGTATTTCCATTTCCTCTTTTGATTGGGCGTAGCTGGCTCTGTGCATGTCCAGGAAGGCAGCAGGTACGTACATTACACTGAAATACACCAAAACACACATGAACAGGCACAATAAAAATAAATAAAAATTCTTTGAATGAAGCTGTATCAATGAAAAATACAAGTTCAACAACAAATGAAATGTGCTACTTGGTAGATCATGACTTTTTTTTTTTTAAATGAGTTTTATCTCACCAATTTCAATAAATCAATCAAGATTAAAATACTTATGTAGTCTAATAAAATACATTTGTTTTAACTAAAATTAACAATCAAAAGTTTAGGGTCAGGAAGTTTTTATTTATTTATTTTTTAAATAAATGTATATTTTTATTCAGCGTGGATGCATTATATTGATCAAAAGAGCCAGTACAAACTTTTATAATGTAAAAAAAAAATATATATATATATATATTTCAAAGAATGTTCACAATTTCCACAAATATATTAAGCAACATAACTATTTTCAGCATTGATACTAATGAGAAATATGTTTTGAGCATCAAATCAGCATATTGGAATGATTTCAGAGGGATCATGTACAGTAAAACTAAAGACTGGAAAATTATGTTTTGTCATCACAGGAGTAAATTACATTTTAAAATATATTTAAATCGATGTTTGTTTTAAATTGTAACAATATTTCACAGTATTATTGTTTTTACTGTATATTTGATCAAATAAATGCAGCCTTGATGAGCGCAAGAGACTTTGTTCAACATAAAAAACGAAGAAAGTCAGACCCCAAACTTTTGAAATGAAAAATGTGTTTGTTTGTTTGTTCATTTATATCTGAACAAACTTATAGGTAACACTTTACAATGATGTTCCATTGGTTAACGTTTGATAATACATGAACTAATATTAACTAACAATGAGCCTTTTAGTTCAGGTTAATTTACTAATTTTGATTTATTGATGTATTAGTAAATGTTGAGATTAACTTGTGTCATTGTTCATGTTAACTAATGAAGGTAACAAATTTGAACAAATTAAACCTTGTTGTTAAGTGTTACTAACTTATTTTGTGGAAAATATATTTTATTTTATTTAATATAATAAATGTTATTGTAAATATTACAATGTTATGGTTATCTTGTAGTCATTTAAATTAGCTTTTATATAAAAACAGAACTAGAAATCGATGTTACATTCTCATTTAGCCAAAGCTGTGTGTGTGAGCACCTGAGATCAGGTCCAATCAGTGAATGTCTGCGTAGCATAGCTCTGGCTTGTGCATTGGTCAGGTTGGTGGAAGATTCTCCATTGATGGCTATGATTCCATCACCCACTGCCAGTCTCCCGTCTTTACTGATCGACCCGCCATGAACCACAGAGCGGATTATGATGCCTGAACCATCCCTTAAAGCACTCACTGTCATTCCTACACAGACACACATGTGCACACACAGTAACATAAGACTATGTGCTTGTTTTGTCACAAGTTGTCAAATATTTTTTGATTTTATATTTTTTTTGTTCATTACCTTTAACATCTTTGCTGTTTTTTAATTGTTACACAGTCCAATAAACTGGATTTTTTTTGCGGGCAGTATAGTGCAAATTGTTTTTATGTAGCCAAGACTATAAGATATGTGCCTGTACAAAAATAAGCTTTCAAAAATAAACCTACATTGGAAAATATTCACTGAAGAAGTACAAAGTGTGACAATCAGCCTCGAGACATCTGAGTTATTTTAGATTTATATACGCATATCCAACAAAAGTGTGTTAAAGTGTGACAGGGGAATTTTAACCACATCAGACAGTCCCTTATTTTAAAACAAACAGTGGAATATCATCATCCGCTAAATGTCATTTACATACCCCATGAACCTCTAAACTGTCTTACCGATTCAAACTCTCTTATTCAAAGAAAGTGTCGATGCACCATGCAGAGTCAGTGCGTCTGAGAGGGTCTTAAAACCCCTCATTCACCTTTCATGACATATTAAGTGGTGGCTTTGACTCAATGTTGTATTAAAGTCACAGTGTGCTCCTTCAACAATTCATTTTTCGATTATTAAGCTGAGCTTATTTTCTACATAATGAACTTCAAATCATGCCGTTGACATCATTGTGGGTGTTAAGTGACTGGTTGGCTTTGTACTACATTTCAGCTGTAATAAATCGGTCTAAATTGCTCTCAATTTGAATAATGCACCATGCAAGTCTATTTTAAAATAATATGCAGCTGATTTATGAATAATTAGTCCACGCAAAGAAAAAAGACAGGCAAAATATCAGATGTGAGAGAGGTAACATGCAAGGAAACACACACCAAACATGGAGACAACACTATGGTCGTAAAGAATTTGAGATTCGTTGATTTTTACGTTTTTATTTTTCAATTTGAACATCCATTTATCATGTTTCGTGCCTGAACAGTCAAATTACAGTACAATCATAGTGCGCTAGTTACAGCAGTGCACATCTGACCATGTAAAGCACAGCACAGGACAGAGATGACACAAGAGAACACCAGAGCAAAAGACACACAATAAGAGACACAACACATCACATCATTTCATCATTCAACATAAATTACTGACTGGAACGTCAATTAAGAAAAAATTAAGATGAAACGGGGTGCTGGAATTGATGAATTAAATAACACTCATGCAGAGCTCTGTGTCAAATTGGATGAATATTCATTGGAATAAATACTTGATCAAAAAGAAAGAGAAAGATCAAGTTTTAATGGGAAGCCTTGACTTCTATATTCTTCACTGAGCTTTATGATTTTGCCAATGATATGAAGTAGCTTTATAAACACTGCAGGGCTGAACAATTTGGATGGCCCGAGGCCAGTGTGTGCTTCGGGCAGCTGACAGTGACAGCACTTACCCTAGGACATGTATTCTGTGATTTATTCAACATCATTGTTGCAAATTCTGCTAAAAATATGTCTCCAGTGTAAAGATATGGAGCTGACACTGATAAAGCTGTGTTCAAATTGTAAGTGGTTGATTTCTGAAAATCATACATGCATTAGTAAAAATAGGCAGCAACCTTTTAACAAATCACTATTTATCAAAAACACAGTACAAACTGTAATATTATGAAATATAATTACAATTTTATTTAAAATAGATTCAACAGCTGTTTTATGTAATTTATTGACATTTTTAGCATCATTACTCCAGTCTTAAGTGCCATGATCCTTCAGAAATCTTGCTGATTTGGTGCTCAAGAAACATTTGTTATTATTATCAATGTTGAAAACAATTATGCTGCTTTATATTTTTGAGGAAACCAAATTTTTCAAAAATCTTTGATGAATAGAAAGTTCAGTTGAACAGCATTTATTTCAACTAAAAATATTAAATCGGACACATTCAATCAAAAAAGACATTTAAAAAGTCAAAATGTTTCCAAAGGAATACCATAAAGAGATGGTTCACCCCAAAATTCTGTCATTTGTTACTCACTCTCATGCTGCTCCAAATCTGTAAGACTTTCATTCATCTTCGGAAAACAGCTTTTTTGTTGAAGTTCTTTTTGATGAAATCTAAGACCTTTCTGTCCCTCCATTGACAGCTACACAACTGACACTACGACGCTTCAAAAAGTTGATAATGAATTGAGGGGTTTAGTACAAATTTTCTTGAGACTCGATCCTTTATATGATGAACAGATTGAATTTAGAACATTTAAACATTCATCAACTCACACATCAGTTATAGACCATTTTGCAAGATGTAAACAACACTGGTCCAGAAGCACTTCCTGTTTCAGTTTTTTAACACTACATAAAAGCTGGGATAAAATACAACAAATAAAGACAAGTCGATGCATTGTTTGTGAAAAACTAAATTTGGAAAAATGTAAATAGGATGAAATGATTTACAGGCTAAAAAATAAGATCTTAAGGCTAAGCTAAATGCGAATGTCCATGCTACATCCAAAACACTCAACCATTTGTCACTGGCAGGCCCAAAGCAACATTGAAAACACTAATATCTCTATATTGCATTTGAAAGCTAACACTTTAACACAGATGGGATTAAAAACATGCAATAATTCTGTTAGTTTTCAAATTTGGAATTGTGCTTAAGATATTGTGCTCATAGAACACACTTAAGTTGTTTGTGCTACAAAGTGCACATAGGCTGTACAAGAATTGCATTCTAGGCAATGCATTTTGTGTAAACTGAATTAAGCAGTGTTTCTATGCTGAATTTGTTTCAATCCTTGGTGAAAAAATTGACATTGAATTTGAAAATCAGAAACAGTGAACGCGTATCTCATTAATCTTAAAACACTTTTTTTTAATTCATATTCAAAGCTTCAGGGAACTAAATTTCCCCAAATATAAATAGGAACATGTATAATGATCCCGTTCTGTTTACATTATGAGCCGAAAAGGTTGAGCCTACACTGCACAAATGACATTGACAATGACATTTTCACTTGGTGGAAAACAATGGGTAGTAAGCAGAAGTAATCAAAACATGGTGAAATAATTGAGGTTATAAACGGCTAGATAAGTCAACAAAATTTCTGTCTTCGCTTCAGGATGTTAAATGTGAAGAAGTGCACTCTAAAAATGCACCTTCAAACACAGCTAGATAAATTACTAGCTGAGTAGTCAGCACTGACTGAAAAGTGTAAAAATCACAAATACATCATTGCAGATCTTAAGGCTAAGCTAAATGCTAAAAAAGTCCAAGTCTCCCAAAATGCTCAACAGCGATGGGACTAAAAATGTGCACTTCTTAGATGAGGCAGCCTGCCCTAACAATCGTGTATCTTTTCAGACAGATGAAGCATGCGATTTCTTTTTAAATTAATTTTTAAAAGAGGGCCTTTTTCAGCCCATAAGGTGATACGGCACCCAAACGCCACAGAGTCAAGCAATCAGCGTCCTTTAATGGTAACTGAATGTAACTTGTTTAAAGCAGATAAGGGCCATTCAAACCATGGTGGAGATGGACTGTTAGTCTAAAACATGCATTTCAGCTCGAACCAAAGGATACGTGGCAAATGGTTATCACCTCAATTCCAGATGGTCTGATCTTTAAGAAACCACAAGTTTTGATGACAGCCCCCATTGTACAGTCAATGTATCAAAATGAGCCTGAGTGTGAAATCTTTAATAGACTAAAACAATGCCTTCGTTATCTGCGTGGATTTGATTTTCAATTGGAAACCGAGTACTGAGGAATCGTTTGAGACTTATGCAGAAAATATATATGAACTTTTTGAGGTTCTGGAACTGAAGGTGTTAACCACAACAATGTAACTGTCCTTGAATTACTGCAATGCAGATCCGCATGTACAGCAATCTCTCAAGTATGGTGCTTCACCAGCACAATACATTCAAAGGTATTGTTAGCTGGGCAACTGGGCAGAGGCAGACCTGATCAAGGAAACAAATTTACAAGGAGTGTGTGAACAAATAATCGGACAAAAGTACCAGAGCCTTTTGCAGGTCACAAACCAAATGTGTGAATGACACCACAAAAGAGCAAATGCTAAGCAGGCAACACCGAAACAGGTTAAAGGGGGGTTGATTGCGATTTCACTTTTTTCATTTTAAATAGTGTGTAATGTTGCTGTTGGTGCATGAACAGTATCTGCAAAGTTGCAGCACTGAAAGTTCAGTGTAAGCAGAGATATCATCTTTTAAAAATCAGGAAATATATTGCCTACAAAAAACGACTCGATTGGGACTACAGCTGGGTTTTAGACGTCACTAACCCATACATTTACATCAACCCTCCCTCCAGAATATGCTAAAAAGGGCATGACCATATTTCTGCGGCTCGTCGAGTGTGTTGTGTTCACGCAGCTGTCAGGTCTTCTGTGTTCGAGCTTCCCACGGACTCTGTACTTCGTCAACAATGGATACAATTTATGTTTGATTATGTCCCTGAAAATGACGATCGTAATTTAGCTCTCTGTGCTGCGCATTTTACGGAAGACAGCTTCCAGAATCTCCATGAATTCAACGCCGGATTCAACAAGAAACTGTTACTAAAACATGAAGCAGTTCCAACTTTAAAACCAGAGGCAGCAGTTGTTGGGCCACAACCTGTAAGTAGGCTAAGACTTAACCATTTTAAATGTATTTGCATATTTAATTCCAGACGTAGCCTTGTGTTTTATTTTTTTCAAATGCCAGCGCTGGCTTTTTAGCCACTAGGCTACTAGTTATGCTATTTTGTGTCTCAGACAAACGCGTACAAACATTATGGACCTGAATTTTGTATAAGTACTAGTGTTGTAAATGTATTTTTTATATTTATATGCTTTATGACGTTATTTTCGATTTGATCGAGAACGTAAACTAATGTCAACGCTGTTTGTGTTTAACATAGCCAGTCAGTTGCTATTGTTGCCAGTCAGATGCTATTGTGTAAAACAAACGTGTATAAAGTAAAAAAATGTAGCAAATTATCATACAGAAACGTTTAGTAAGAGCCGTGTGTGGTGAGGTTCTGCTTGCCTCTCTTCATCGCAGCTTTCTCTATCTGATTCTGCCTCAAACTGATACTGCAGTTCGACACCATTATTTACATGATTGGACCTTTGGCATGCACGTTTCGCCCGTAAAGGTAATGGGCGTTAACCTTACAGACAACGTGAGCGACAGTTTAGTCAATCACAACACACCGGCCCAAACTAACCAATCTGAGCCCACTGCCTGTTTCTGAGGGAGTGGTTTCATAGAATCAGGAAGTCAACCAGTCGTTCAGGGGACAGAGGAGAGCGCGGCTCATAATAAAGGTGAAATTTATTGTAAATTTCACCTTTAAATTTCACCTTTATTCACCTAAATTTCACCCTCCCCCATTTGTTCATTTGAACGAGCGGTTGACTTCCTGATTCTATCAAACTATTCCCTCAGAAACAGGCAGTGGGCTCAGATTGGTTGGTTTGGGCCGGTGTGTTGTAATTGGCTATACTGCGTAGTGCACATTGTCGGGAAACTTCACGCCTATTACCCTTACGGGTGAAAAACGTGCATGTGCTCCGGTCCAATGTAAATAATGGTGTCTAATCAGTTTGAGCCGAATCAGACCCAGAAAGCGGCGATGAAGAGAGTCAAGCAGAACCTCCTCTCCTTCTCCACAAAACAAATGACACGTCAACTGAACAAGACACAAAGGTCCACCTGGTGTGACCGGGTGTTCTACAGGTGAACACAGCTTCTACAGATGCTAACATTGCAAAGACAATTTTTTAGTTAGATCTCAATAATCACAACAAACGTCTTTCTGTGACCCCGTAAGTGTCTGAATGTGACCAATGGGGTCAAGGAGGGATCTGTAAGACTGGAAAAAACTGGTTGAAGAGATAGACCTGACCACAGGTCTATGAGAAGAAGGACCTTGGCAAATTAACTTTTGAACTCTTGCAGAGATCACCCAAACTCACACAAGAATCTATATGATTTTAATTTGAACAACTATCATACAGTTTTATACATGTGTTCAGTATTATTTTAAATGTCTACAAGTGTGACTGGAACAAATGTCGTATTTCCAAAAAAGTAAAACAAAAGGAAATAAGGTTTTTAAGAGTTTAGGGATAACTGGCACACAAAGGAATGTGGTCTGTAGGCAAGATACTCCCAAAAGGTGTAAATTCATGAATGCAAATAACCACTGTTAGCAAATGGTCAACGTCTACCCCTAGTAAGTCTGTAAACTGTATGTCCACTGTAAACTCATGTTTACATATGAATTGAGGTCTGGCTATATAATGAAATGCAGCTGAAAGATCAGGGCCTTTTCTGTGTCTCAGATCAGCCCATGAATGCTGAGTCACTGAGACTCAGTATTCATGTATTTCATAAAGTCATTTTCCTCTTTGTTCAAGAACATTTGAAGGTTTGCTTTGATAATCTTTCAATTGATTATGGAATTGTAATAATACATTTACCTGACATAATAAATTGTTATATTTGATTATTCTAACAGACTTTGACTTCATTTTCATCAGAGTTAAAAGAAATAGTCAAACGCACAGATATCATTGAAAAACCTTTTCATTTATGGAGTCAGATGAAATAACGAGTTAATACATGAGATAAAATGTATTGCATTTAATTAAAAATCCTTTTACCATGAGAAAAGACGGAACATTCGTCAGACCTTCATCTCTAATCGAATTCATTGGATCGAATAAAACAGCCTTACAAAAGCGATCAATCTCTAGAAAATCTGGACTAAACCGCTCAAATCATGCGAATTACTTTTATGATCTCTTTATATACTTTTTGAAGTATCAAAGTTTCAGTAATGTAGGCTGTCAATGGATGGACAGAAAGCTCTCAGATTTCATTAAAAAGATCTTACATGATCTTACACAATTGGAACAACATAAATGTGAGTAAATGATGACAGAATTTTGACAGAAAATTAACCCTTTAATAATATCTTGGAAAATAATGGTACTACTACCATACCTAAAAAAAAACAACAACCTTTGTTGAGCTCTGCAATGCATTATGTATACTTTGACTTGGCTGAAAACATCAGAAAAAAGAGAGATAAATCACTACTCTTTAAAACCATAAATACAAACATGTAAGCTAAAGTACATGCTAAATAGCAAAATAATTATGCAAACCACCATATCATATACTACTGTAATACAAAATGTTTAATCCCTACTTAATGCAATGCATGTGTAGTTTAAGATCAACACCCAGAGCTGCACCACATACACACATAAACAACATCAACACACCCATGCAAACACATGTTTTACAGGTCTCTCACAGAGTTCACTTCTCTGTGAAACATACTGAGGATGTATAAGAAGACAGAAAGGAAGAGTGTAATGAACAGGGTTAACATACCCAGACTGGAATTTCCCCTGACTACAGTTATGCTTCTCTCATAGCCACTAGTGGGGATGGAGATGGTTTTAGCACCAGCCTCCATCTTGCTGTTCTGACAGTGGGAATTTGTCTGGAACACAAACAGAGAAAAGCATCAGGCTTATTTATTCAGTGAAATTGCATCTTAAACATCTGTCCTTCAGCAATGCTTCATTTCCAGTGTTGAAAGTGTTTATTTACACAGGCATCCAGATCTCGAGAGACATCCCAGAAGAGTGGGTGCCAGCAAATGTGTGACTGAATGACATTCATAGCAACAAGAACAATCCTCTGATGAGTAATTTCTAACAGTTTTTTTCAAAAGTCATCAACAGATGATGTCAGGTACATTTATTGTTGTCAAAAACATGTCTTTCCCATGGCTGCATTTGATCAAAACAGTAAAAATTAAAAACAGCTATTGTTTAATAAATTAATAAATGATTAAATTGTTAATTTATTAGATTATTGAAAAATAAACAGATGAATACAGACAAATACACTACTGTTCAAATGTGATGGGTGGGTAAAATTTTAGTTTTTGAAAGAAGATTCTTTTGCTCACCAGGCTGCATTTATTTGTTCTAAAATACAGTAGAAATAGTAGTATTAGAAAATATTTGGTAACACTTTACAATAAGATTTATTAGTTAATATTTGTTAACTACCTTAGTTAAAGGAGAACTCCAGTGAACAATGAAACTTTGGTCTAATAAAACATCGGTACCTAGTCAATCGTTCTCTGAGATTTGTTTTCATGATAATCGAATGTAAAGAATTTGATCTCTAAAAACTGTTTAGCGTATAATGCTAGGAATGGGGGCATTGACTAAGTAAAAATAAATCGCTAGGCTAGTTTATACCACTAACAAGGCTCAAAATAGCCCCACACTAACACAGTAACATAATGAGGCTCCATACATGCAAAACGAAGCATTGAGAACTTTGTAAGTGTACAGACCGTTTAATAAGAAGATACTTTATGAAGACAGTTTACTTCGCGTATACAGACAGGAGCCATCTTAGGAAATAGTCTCGATAAGTCAAACCACGAACGTCGTGCTGAGTGATCTGAACTGTATGAAGTTCAACGAACTTCTGAACTGTATGAACGGCATTCGGGGATCGACTTATCGAGACTATTTCCTAAGATGGCTCCTGTCTCTATACGTGAAGTGAACTGTCTTCATAAAGTATCTTCTTATTAAACGATCTGTACACTTACAAAGTTGAACGGCCTTCGAATATCGCTCCCCAGCTGGTGAGGAAAGCATTTTTTGAGATAGCAACTCGACAGCTATACGAACCAACACCGAAACCGGAACCTGGGACAAGAACCAGTGTTTACTCCATATAACAAAGGTGCTGCTGCATGATCTTGATCATTCAAAATGGATTTGCCCTCGGGGAGAACCCTCTAGTCCTGAGCCACCACTGCAAAGGTCTCACATACAGCTGGCCAAATGGTATCACAATGGACGCTGTTGCCCAGAGGCCTAACAGTCTCTCGAACTGTTTCACATTGTGTGACTGGCCTAGCTTTAGGTCTTTTGTGGCAGTAAGGATAACAACTACATGAGCGGGCAACAGAACGGCTTGCATCGTGACTGAGTCCCAGACCACTGGTCCTCTGTACTGGAGAAAACAAATTTTTTTGGCATTGAGCCTCAACCCCAACCTTTGCTTATAAGCGAGGACGACGTCTCGATGCCGAACCGCTAACTTTTCAGATTCCGCTAGAATCAGCAAGTCGTCTATGCAATTCAGAATGTGTTTCGTGAATGTGCGGGGTGAAAGAACTAGACTGAAAGGAAGTGCCTGATACTGGTGTTCTTTGCCCCTGCAATAAAACTTCAGGAACCTCCTGTGCTGAGGAAGGATGGAGAAACTACTGGAGACAAATTAGTGCCCAACGCATGAGCCCGTGATTTGCATTTTACATCCGTTGAAGAAAAACTAAAAAAATTTTTTTTTGTTAAGTATACACCAGGGGTGCCCAACGCCGCTTCTGCCGATCGACTGTCCAGGGGTGCATTTCCCAAAAGCATCGTTAGCCAACTATGGTCGCAAGTTGGTCGCAATTTCCATTGAACTCTATTGGTAACGACGGAACTTGCGACCATAGTTGGCTAACGATGCTTTCGGGAAACGCACCCCTGCACAGTTCATCTCCAACCCTAATTAAACACACCTGCCTTTAATTTCCAAGTGACCCTGAAGACCTTAATTGGTTGCTTCAGGTGTGTTTGATTAGGGTTGGAGGTAAACTGTGTAGGACACTCGATCGGCAGGAGCAGGGTTGGACAGCCCTGGTATACACGGTCACTGGTTGTGCATTGGACCCCATGTACATTTCAAAATGTTGAATGGCAAGTAATAATTCAAGAGCTTCATTTTCTATAGTATTATAATTCAAATGGTGTTAAAAAAAACTAATTGGGTGTTCCATTCCAGCATCATCAGTCTGAATTAAAACTCCACCAGCACAAAAGAAATCCCTTTTCGGAGTAAACCTGTTAGAGAATTACCCACATCTGAAAAGTTTCTACAAAGGTTTCTATTGAAGCAATCATACCTAAAAGACATCTATGCTTTCTCTCTCTCTCTTAGTCATAGGCACAGAAAAATCCAAAATAACTTGAACTTTAGAGCTAAGTGTCAGGGTCCCAGCCTGGCACCCTTGTCTGTTTTGTCACTGTTTAATGTTTCCTTGTTTGTCTTGTGCCTGAGGCTCTGTCTTTGTTTGTGTTGGCCATGTGTTCTTGTCCAGCCTCCTTGTTTCCCGTTACCACGCTCCCTTATTTAGTTCACACCTTGTTTCACTAATTGTGTTAACCTGATCCTCATGTGCTCTGGTACCTTTATATTTTCCTCTTTCCCTTAAATCTTTGCAGGTTCCATTTGTGTGCTTTCTGGTGTAATCCTGTTTGCTTGCATGTGCTTATGGTTAAACATTGGTCTTGTTCTAGTCGTGAATTCGATCATTTCTAGCTTTAGCGTATCCCTTTTTCCTTTCAGTCTGGTTCTAGTTAGTTTTTGCCCTTGTGCAGCCAAGTCTTTTGTTTTTTTTCTCTTTTGTTTTTTATTTCTACTCAAGATTATCATCTCCAGTAGTTTCTAGGTCCCTGTAAGTTTGTTATTTTGTTTTATTTTTTGATAGCAAGTTCCAGTCATTTTACTCCTGCTTTTCTTTTGCTTCTAGTCATTGTTCTATCGGTTTCAGTTTTTATTTGGCCATTTAATTTCTCTCTTGTGCCTTGCCTGTTTGCCTTGTTTATTGTGAGTGTTGTGTTTGTTCCTGCACTGCTTTGTGTCCAGAGCTTTCCTGGCCACTGCCTGGCAGCAAAGTCTGGATCTACTTCCGAGAGATCATGCATCAAGCCTCGACTTCCTACCTGGTCCTTCCTCCCATCGCTCCTGATGCTGCCTGCCAAGCTGTCCGCTAGTCTGTCATCCAAGACTGGTCTCAGTGGTCATCCTGCCTATCACCATGTTGTCTACCCTGGCCTACTGGTTGACCTGTGTTGCACGTCTCACTCTCCTCTTTGTTCTTTGTCTACATTCTTAATAAAACTTCCCTTCATGCTTATTCTGCATCTGGGTCCTCACTCTCTTGCAGTACTGCGACATTAAGTGGTCAAACTTAGCTGTTTCTGACCTCCTTTTCTAGAGGTAACTGTGAATTCACATTTTGTCAAATTTAATGACAGCAAGTGGAAAAACACAGTTGAGAAATTGAACATTCATCCCAAGAATCCGAATAACAGACCAAATCATTGAGGTAAGCATCACAATAAGTAACACAAATGCTGAAAAGTTCAAGTCCAAACCCCATCACTCTATATTGAAGGAATACATCAGGAGTAGCAAAAGCAGAAACTACAGAAGCCTTTTCAGTAAGTGGAACTTGCCAGTATCCTTTCAATAGATCAGTTTAGTGGCAAATTTTGGATTTCCAACAAGGTGAACGTCACGAGGCAACAGGAATGAATCTGGTTTAGTCAATGCATTGACTTACCAATAATCGGTGCAGAATCTGGACATACCATCGGACTTGGGGACTAAAAAACACAGGGAACACCAGGGACTACTACTGGGAACTGCTAAACCATGTTCTAACAGATTCTGGGTTTATAGTTTCATGAGATTTCTTTTGACTGGATTAACTCTCTAAGCATTTTTCTTAACAGGGGCATGTGAGCCCCCGTTAAATGTGATAATTTTGTGGACAGATTTTTCAAAGTTTTAATTTGAATATCCAGCATAAAAAAGGAGTTGAAAATCTGAACGCTGACACTCTTTCACATGTCCATTCTTAAAAACCTATGTTTTTTTTTTTTTTTTAAATTTAAGGGTGGGGCTGTTATGTCTTATCTTTTAGAAGTGTGTTTGTTGTGTTTCTGAGTGTGTCTGTTGCAGGAGAAGGTGTGGCCTGCATTCAAGCCAGCAGAGATCCTGATTGGTCTGGTCTTGGTTCTGGTGAAAAACACTCATAAAGATCAAATTTGTCAGTTGTTTTGCTCTGTTTTGTTTGTTTTCTGTGCACTTTGTAAAACTTGCTTATGATCTTTCAATTTATAATTCTTAGTTTGCCATTTACTTTTGCTTCCATTCATATTGTGTAAATACTCAATTTAAGGGAAGTAGGGAGTGTGATGCCATTTCTTTTGCATATATTGTTTGTATGCTTTGGGTTAAGGGAAGTTGTGTTGTATTTTTCTTTTGATTCGGTTTCTTTCTTTTAGGGAATTTAGTACTAAAACTAGATATTTTTGTTTGTTATTTTGGCCTTGTCCAATCCTGAATTTAATCCGTTTGTTTCTGGTTTTCACTATTTTTTGTTAATACATTTATATTTGTTTGAACATTATCTTTGTGAGTGAGTGCACATTAATTTACGTTATGACTTGCCCAGAAGTAGCAAAAAGTTTCACATTCAAAATGTTCAGATGTACTCTCAATAAGGAAATCAGACGGCACGTGCTGTACACATTTGCGTTCTTGAGTAAACCAAAACCATCGTGTGAATAAGAGATGATGTCACACAAATCCTGTCAACAAATATCCTCCCCAGTTAAACCCTGGCAGCTAGAATGACCACACTAAATTAGGTCAGTGGAAAAAAACAACAACTTTCTCTTTGGTCTACTAATTGCTTAAGTGCAAATAATTAAAAACAATGTTTACAAAATCGACGGCTGTAGGACACCACAATAGTCTATCATTTTGACGTGGGAAATCTAAAATTAAGACTTTGCTTTAAACAACCAACAAATCTACCATGTTGAAGCTTGAAAAACAAATGTCAAGGGTCATTGTGAAAAGCAGTTGGTGGTCAGATGTAAAAATACCACAGAACTGTTATGAAACAGATCACATTATACAGTATTATAACAGGTAAAGCAAATATGTAGCCCACCTGCAAATTGCTGTGCTGGTTGTTATGTTCTGAGTGGCAGTTGCCTGTTACATCTGCTCCTGTGTCCTGGGTGTCATTTTCCTGTCAATGACAATGCCATATTAAATCTCCCACTCAAAACTCTTGTTCCATTCAACTCTCTGCCAGGATACAATCACATATGCACTCTCAACTCCAATAAGACACAGAAAAGACGTTTTCCCAGGACTAGCTAAACCTGATTACGGAGGCAAGGGACACATAAACACAAATGCACCGCTTGTTTTAGGAGGCTGGTGTTAGAATTCAAGAGACATTAATTATTGAAAGATTCCAGTAATCAGAGACTCATGAGCCACAGTGACTGTGACTCGGTTCACAAAAGAGAGGCTAAAAAAAAAGACCACCATCAGACTGAAGTAGATCTAGACTAATAATACCAGAGCTCATCATAAACAGTAACCTGACTTGGAATATATACAAGATGACACAGGCAACACTGTGATATCATTCTAAAACAAATGAGAAAATGTTCACTATAAATAGAGTGCTTCTTCTGTGGGAACTTTGGATATTTAAGAAATTAAACTCATAAAACACAACTTTAATTTTCTACAATCAATATCCAATAGTACATAAATGGTGAATGAAGTCACTTCCTGAAGTCATGTCCATGACTAATGGTGGAAGTGATGATGATGAAAATTACATAAGAATTAAAGGGCTGAATACTAGCTAGCATTTTATGTATCCTACATACACACAATTAAATAAAGCGAAACATCTAATTACAGCTTGATTGGAAACCAATAAAAATAATAATAATAATAATTACTACTAATAAAATGAATAATAACAATATTTTATCAATATTTTTATAAAAAAATACTTAATCTTTTACATTTTTAATCTTAATTAAAATTTTAGTTTTTCATTACATACAAGTACAGTAACTTATAACGATTATATATTATTAAACTTATAATAATACTATTATTATTGTAAAACTTATTATTGCATAATTGGCTCAATAACTGAGGGACAGACATAGTTTGTGTAAAAACAATTCACACAATACATATTTAAATGCTTTAAATGCATATTTAAAAGTCTATTTTACTTTTCGTTATCATAGTTTAAAACAACTCACCAAATAATAAACCTCAAGTTCAACTCCTTGAACCTAAAAGTGCTTGTAGTTTAATATACTTATACTTTGCACTCGTTTAATACGGCGTCAAAGAAACCATTAGTCACAGAAAACTGATGAATACGCCAATCATGCTGCAAATTATACATGTCAGGTCTAAAACTTTACATGACATTCTATGTTGATCTGGATGACATACAATATCCTGGATTCTAGATTTTTCCTACACTGCCCAAGGTTGAGATTATTGCTGTCTGGCTTGTGAATGGAGATACTTACTAGTAAGGGTTTGGCAACTCCAATGCGTACAGTGCCCAAAGCAGTGCTTTTCAGGACATTAACGGCCTGAGCTAGACTTGCGTGGCTCAAGTCAGTCCTGTTCACAAACATCAACCGGTCGCCTGGCAACAAGCGGCCATCTCTCTCTGCCAAACCGCCTGCTACAAGAGAGCGGATCACTATCACAGTATGCCCTGGGTTCATGGGGTCCTGAGAGAGTTTCAGAAAGTGACAGCGCAAGAAAGAAAGAGAAGAATAGTAATAAATTAGGAGACACTGCTGCCATGTTGTTGAAGGATTTCAAACCAACTGGGACTCTCCAAACCAAGTGATGTGCAGCTCATACTCTGCTGCTCTCTTGTTATTGTTGTACTGGTATATAAACACGCACACACACATACCTGGTAGTCCAGTATACTGAATCCCAGGCCAGAATCGCCTTTCTGCAGCTCATAGACTTGAATCTCATTCTCCCACATGGCCTTATGGGATAGCACTGGAGCCTCTGTCTTCCATTCATTTATTTGAGTTCTCCCAAATGAGTTCTGCTCGGCCTGTGAGAAAAAGTGGATAAGCCAGTATTATTTTGCAATGAAACGTGTGGAATCATCTTTGCACATTTGAAAAAAGAAAATGGTATCGATTTATATTTAATTTATCTTTTTGTATACTATGTTTTTTTGGGAATACTGGTCGGTCAATGCATTCTGCTTTCAGTAAGTATGATACTTTAATGGTGCTTTTATTTTGGGGTCCTTTTTGAAGATTCAAAGCTCCAGCCTCTATTCATTGTAATTCCTCATAAAAGAATATCCATTAAATGTTTTCAGACTTTGTTTTCCTTGTGTGTTCCTACTTCCACAGAAGAAAAAAACTTTAAAAGAACTTTATGTGCTTTAATAAGCGTCAAAAGATTATTAGAACATGATTTAAAACGTATTTTAATACAAAACTTTAAATTTGATATTAAGTGCACTTTTTAAAAGTGTACTTAAGTGTGTTAAGATGGTCTTAAATGGTCTTTAATGATCTGCAAGAACCATTTTTTTTAAAAAATGTACCCTTAAAGGAGTAGTTCAATTTTGAAAACAACTTTTGCTGATAATTTACTCACCCCCATGTCATCCAAGATGTCCATGTCTTTCTTTCTTCAGTCGAAAAGAAATTAAGGTTTTTGATGAAAACATTCCAGCATTTTTCTCCATATAATGCACTTAAATGGGAACCAAACAGTTCAAGGTCCAAATGAGAGTTTCAATGCAAACTGCAAACTGTTCAAATGGCTTCAAACGATTCCAGACGATGAATAAGGGTCTTATCAAGCGGAACGATCGCTCATTTAATAAATAAATAAATAACAAAGTTTAAGTTTTATAAGGTCAAATGCTCGCCTTGCTCTGTTTTGTGACGCACGTTTGTGACTCTCTTGTTTGAACTCGTTCATCAAAATTAACTAATCTTTTTCCGAGTTATCATTCATTCAACGAACGAAACGAATGAACTGACTCAGAAAATCTTTTTCTGAGTCAATTCATTCGTTTCGCTCATTTTTTTTTAAATGAGCAATCTTTTCGTTTGATAAGACCCTTCATCGTCTGGAATCGTTTATAGCCCTTTGAACAGTTTGCAGTTTATACTGAAAGTGTCTTTTGGACCTTGAACCGTTTGGTTCCCACTGAAGTCCATTATATGGAGAAAAATGCTGGAATGTTTTCATAAAAAACCTTAATTTCTTTTCGACTGAAGAAAGAAAGACGTGGACATCTTGGATGACATGGGGGTGAATAAATTATAAGCAAAAGTTTTTTCAAAAGTGAACTACTCCTTTAAGATTTGTAGTACACTACAAGTGCACTTTATAATTAAGCAAACATTTTTATTCACAAGAGTAATAAGTTACTAGCATATACATGTTTCTTTTAAATATCATGATGCACAAACACACACGGCAAACCTTTTCATTAAATTCTGCAAGCAGCTCCTTGAGGGTGAGTTTTACGTCATCCCCATCATCATCGTCTTCCTCACTGACTGTGGGTGGGATGAGACGACTGCAAACCACACAAACATTCACAGGAAGTTCCTTTAGCAAGCACACAACTTCCTTGTGTGTCTCACCAATCAGAGAGAACCCGTTCACCTATAGAAAGAACAAACACATCATCTCCCTTACTCCGCTGAACTGATCCTCTGGGCTTTTCTACTGACAGGAAGAGCTATTTTTAAGCAGCAGTGATGATTGATATTCATGTGCAGTCGGCATTGAATAAAGTGCTATGCATTAAAAACAGAATGCAGAAAGGAAGATGAGCACATTTGGTTATTATGCATGCATGTGTTAGCAGGGTTTATGATAAGGGATTACAACAGTGTAATCTATAAACAACACTATTATCTGTGTGTAATGTTTGTTTGACTTTGAAGTATAACCAAATTAGCGTTTTTTTTTTTCCAGGTATATGAATTCTAGTGTTTGCATGGGTAAAAATATGTGAAATAATTTACTACATAACTATGTGGACATTATAATATCAAGTGAACCTCTATCAGTTCGTCTCCAGGCCGTATGACTCCTGTCTGTCCCATCGGACCCTCTGGCAATATAGAGTAGATATAGTGATGACCTTCCTTAGCTTCCAAACTCAGACCAAGACCACCACTCTCAATGAATTTCTGTACCTGGACCACCTGCACACATACATGATAAAATGTAAATACAGTATAAACACATTAACAGATACTGTAGATGGATATATGGATGGAAAACAAAACAAAAAGGCATATACTAAAAAAGCACACAATGAACATAAATATATGCGGAGACACAAATAACTGTCAGCTAAACAGGAGAGAACACAAATGAGACGCACCATCACTTCATACTGAGGACCCAGTTTGCTTTGCCACTTCTCCTTCAGTGCTTTCTCCTCTTCATCAGACAATTTACAAACTGAAACAAATTATTAAAGTGTCACACAGCTAATAAATAAATGATTAAAATTTTAGGATAGATGACTGAGGAGAATAATGTACAAATTTGGAAAGAAAATGCATGCAAACCAAAAAACCTTTAAGCAAAATTCTGGGTTATTTACAGCTTAAAGTCTATGGATAGTACTTCTAATTTGCGACATGTTTTTGATTACCATTAACCAGACAGCAGGAAATAAAAAAAAGATAAATCTAAATAAATGCAATGTTAACATCATAATGGTGCACAGTTAGGATATCACAATAAATATATGTTTATCTTTTAAGGTTTAACACGGGCAAAATTCTTGTCATGCCTTCTTTGTAAAATTCATTCAATTAAAAAACAGTATTTTGAAATAAAAGCATTTATCTGTTACTTGGTTAGACTTCTATTACAGAAGCCTAGCTAAAATTAATATTTTTGCCTTTTTTTTCTTGCAAGCAATGCTTAAATAGCAAATATTTCAGTATATTATAGTATATGTTTTCCCAGTGTACAAACAAACCTGAGGTACGAGTCAAAATGAGTGTTAATCATTTAGTCCACAGACATTCAAATTTAAATAACCTCAATGTGTTCAGTTCTTACATGAGGACCAGTGGTTTCTATTCTCAAGAACAACAAACAGAAACTGTTGTTAGAATCAAATCAGGGCCACAAAGTTACTGAGACTTCACACGGAGAGTGAACAGAACCCATGAATCAAACACAGTGTGGATGAGTGTAAATAAACCGAAGTGACAAGAGTTTCACTAACAGCACTCTCTGTTGAAGTTGAGGTCCCGGCGTTCAGTATAGAAAACTTTCCCCAGGGGCAGGACTGGCTTTGGCTCAACTTGACATGGAGGCAGTGGTGGGGGATCGAGACCCAGAGGGGTTAAGGGTCTCTGGGAGATTGTGGACAGGGTGGGGGTTGTTTGCGTTTCAGATGGTGAGCCTGTTCTCAGAAGAGAGATCTCCACTTGTTGGTCAGTCGTGTTCAGAATCTCCTCCGTTTTTGGTTTACTGCAGAACTGCCCATTCACCTGAATACACACACACACACACTCACTTTCAGATATTTGAAGATATGTCTTTCAATGAAAAAAAAAAGAAAAGAATGTTAAGATTTAGTTCTCATATTTAATCCAAAAAAGTGCAAAACCTGTGATTTGTTACTCATTAGTTAGTATTATTCACAGTTATTGTTGTCTTATCCCTCATGCAGCGCCGGCCCGAGCCTTTTGGGGGCCCTAAGCAGAATTTGATTTGGGGGCCCCTCCCACGACGTGGAGTCACCTGTGTTTGACGATTATTGACATAAATGTCACGCAAAAATGATACATTATAAATGAATACACTGAGGTTATGTATTAATAAAAAAATAGATGCCTACTTAAATAAAAAAGTTTTAAAACAGTCTTAAAACTGTCTCAAAACATATAAAATAAATTATTTGCTAAAATGATGACAAAACTGAGAAATTAAACGTAAGAGCAATGATACTTTGGCCTATCCTTCATGGGACCCAGGAACAGACTTTTGTCCACTGTAGTGGACATTATATTTTAGTGTATTTCTCTGACACCATGCATGTCACATTTTTTTTTCTGGATGTCCTGTAAAGAGCACATTCAGGGCAATACAGAGATACCAAATGTTTGGAGGTTTCACCATGAAAACAACTTCTCCTTGGTCTTTAAAAATGTCTAACATTAATTTAGTGATCAAATGTAGCACTCTTATTGAAATATGGTAATATATTGTAATTATAATTTAAATCTAACTACTTTTAAAATTGTATTTCATCAACCAACATCTCATGAAAATGTTATGGGGTTTCAAATGAAAAAAATGACTTTCCGTTACAGGGCATTGATTTCATTCATGTCCACTGTAGAGAACATCAGGACATAAATCATGTTTATCAGGCATTCTGGGAGACATAACAAGTGAATATGTAAATAAATGATACGTCAATATTCTTATGACATATTAGATATTATTATTAAAATGTTGCTTATTATTACTCCAATGCTTACACTTCTTTTTTTCATTAAATGTTGCTCCAAGAACACATGTGCAAATTAGATACAGTGTATAGATACTTTGCATTGAATGGGAATATTAATTTATGCCAATTTTACCCATATATTGCATAAAGTAAATTGGTGTATCAATTAATTCCATTATATCTTTCATAACATAGTTGAGAATCATCTTTATACAAATTTTAGTTTAAAAAAATCCTGAAACCCCAAAATGTATTGGTGATTGGAAAAAAAAACCCCATTGTTTTTGCCTACACATTGTATGTCATTTAATTCTAACAACTGAGTCCTGGTGTCCACTACAGAGGACAAAGTATTACATATGAATAAAATATAATTTTTCAAAAAGGTTTTTTTTTTTTTTTTTTTTTACCATTTGTTTATTATGCTCTAAACAATGTGATGACATGAAAAAAAAACTAAATTAAAAAAAAAAAACTTTCTGGGTCTCAGGAGGCTATTGTTGAAAACTAAAAATATTACTAGCCTATTTCTCAACTGTCAATACAGAGTAACTATCCTCAAAATCTTTATTATTGTTATTATTATTATTGTAACAGACTTTGTTATATAGTACATGACATAATCCAACACAGTCTGTTACTATAATACCGGTTATGATGTTCTGGCGCTCGTTGTATGTGTGTATGCAATGTATTTTTCCCCTCGGGGCTTGCCGTAGATGGGTCGTGCGCACTTGCTAGGCTACTGGAGTGTCGCGGGTGTTTGGAGAAATGATGTGTGGTATAATAAAGTGGAGAAGAGTTCAAACTGCTATGTTTATTATTTATTCAAACTGCTACCCTTACACCTTGAAGGATAAGTTCTCAGGCGGGCTATTTTCTCCAACTTAAACCGATACCGTGACTAGGCGCAGTTGCGCACGAATTGTCTATGCACGCACGAGGTGTCTAGAAGATTATGCGTATGACTTAAACGCTGGCAGACAGAGCAGCAGTTGTAACTTGTAGGCAGGTATATTGATCATTAAATCAGAATTTTGTTGTCTTGAACTATTCATTCAGTCATATTCATTCATTCATTGATTTATGTCACTTGTTTAAGTCATTTAAAAAAATTAAAATAAAAAATAACCTCGATTAGGGGGCCCCCTGGTGGCCAGGGGGCCCCAAGCAGCCGCTTAGTTCGCTTATGCCTCGGGCCGGCCCTGCCCTCATGTTCTTTAAAGTCCTATTTAAATGTCAAATAAGTTCCACTGACCTAATCAAAACCCAGAAGTTTTTATTACTCTAGCCTTTAGAGATTATTTTCAGTTTGAGCTGATCTCAAGTACTAGAAAACCAATAATGCAGATACTAAATGGAAAATATGTGCAACTTTTAAGGGTAATTAAAGCCATTTAAGATAATATTTGACATCCATTCTTTATCATTTAAGGGGTCTAACCATCTAAACTTCTGGTTTAGTTTATCATTAACAACAATAATAGAACTTTTAAATCTCGTAATTTTTTTCTCTCTCCAAAAACCATTATATTACAACATTTTAGTTTCACATTTAGCTACATCTTTACTTAGTGTGAAATAGCTTCAGATGATGTCTGTGCTTATGTCTTTCAGCATTTCTGCATATTAAGAAAAATGGCTCCAATCTCAATCAACCATTGGCTAACGCAATATTTTTTTTTCAATTCAAAGAATTGAATTTTCATGTTAAATAACTCCAGCTACAACATCAATATTGAAAATCAGAACTTATGTTTTGGGGGTAAGCTTTTCAGTTAATATCAAAATTTGCATGGATTTGCACAATTTTCAAAAAAACATACCTTGGTACAATTCACAAGCTATTTTCCTCATGGGGACCAAAAATGTCCACACAAGGATACGGATATTGGCATCTTTGTGGCGACATTTTGTTTACCAGGACACACACACACACACACACACACACACACGATCAGAGCCTTCCGCACCTGTTTCTTCTGATTGTCCTGTTGCTTGGCGATAGTAGGTGAGAGGTCACTATCAGTGGTTTCCCTGGCAATGATAAGTCTCACATGGGAACCAGCCAGACGGAGCTCACGTGCCACTTCCTCACTGCCCATGGTGGACACGTCCACATCACCAATTCTGAGAAGAAGATCGCCACTATGCAATCTCCCGTCCTGTGTCCACAAACACATGTCAAGGAATTTGGCTTTTTATTCCACACTCCTTTTAATTTGAATCAATTTGTGCAATCCAAATAATGTCATAAATTCTAGTGTATGTGTTTCCATGACAATTCTCTCATACCCTTCCAGCGATACCATTAGGTAGGATGGTTTTAACCATGGTGCCAGTACTCCTCCCTCCAACAATGCCAAAGCCCAGACCCGATCCGTCATTCTGCAACTCAATGTGATGAATTTGTCGAGGCTGCTGAACCAAATTTAAAATATGGCCATTTATTTTATAATATAGCCATTTTATATTAAGTCATTTTCAGTATAGCCAAATACCTTAGTTATTAGCTACAAACAAAACAAAACAGTAACAGATTTAAGTTGCGTGTCAAAGTGAGGCAGCTACAGTTTAAGGCACAAGAATAAGATACAGTTTAGGATATCATAATCAGGCTATTTTAAACATTGCTATTTTACACATTCAAAGATATAATAAAGATGGGACAAAAAAAAAGCCTTACTCTGAATTGTCCATCAAAGCCAAAAAGATTTTTGGGAAGAGAGTGGCTCATCTGTGGGGAGCTGAATGATGAGGTCGGTTCCCTGGCTATAGTTAATGTTACCATGGAAGCAGCTTCCTGAAGAATTTGGGCAGCCTGTTCCTGTGTTACCGAGGATTCAAACAGCTTGCCGTTCACTGCTAGAATCTGATCAGCCTCATGGAGACGTCCATCTCTAAGACAGGAGAATGGGGTAAACAATGGTTTCAAATCATCCTATGCCCCATATCCACAATAATACGATTATGATCATTATGATGGTTTTGCTATTCTGAACTTGCATCCTTTTCAGTTTATACCTGTATGCTACAGAGTCTGGCTGAATCTTCTGTATGAAGATACCATGACCTCCACCGCCTTCAGTCTCCAAGCCAATAATGCTGATACCTAAAGCACTTTCACCCTTCTCCAGATCAAAACTAAGCACAGTCCGACCCTGAAAGAGCAACATATATGGGATAAGAAAGAATAAGAGGAGATAGCAGAACTGAAATGATAGTATTTATTAAAAGAATGCATGATAACATATCCCAGTCGGGTTTAACGGCTTGTGTTTCTTGTTTAATGGAAAAGGATGAGAGGATGTTTAGGGTGTTTATGAGGAACAGTACCTGGGCCATGGACTGCAGCACTGAAATGTCCTCTGTGATGCAAGGGGCAAAAGTCATGTGATTGGAGGATCGACGTCGGTCATAGTGCCGCTGGGCAGAGAGGTAAGAATCTCTGTATCTCAGAGTGGATGAGGGGTGGGACGCTCTCACACCATCTGTATCATCACTCATAGACTGAGGAGGCGGCGTTCTGGGGGAAGCCTGTACAAACACACAGCTGGAGTGATGTAGGTAGCTGGGTTGCACTAACAATTTGCAAGGCCTTACTGGGATGTAAGTTGGGATGTAAAAATTCACACTATTAAGATTAGATGGTGTTTATCTTTACTGATCCTTGTGCACTTTCTGTCATGATTCTGCCATCATGTCTTAGATTTTTCCTGGTCTTGTGGCAGTGTCATGGCAGACCCATGTTTTATGTACAAGTGCATGGTCTGTTGTTTGGACCATGTGCTTGTGTTGTCTCGTCTCGTAACCCCGCCCCCTTGTTATCCTTGTTTAGACATTATTGCCTTGTTAGTGTCACCTGTTCCTCTTGTTAGTTCCTTGCTATTTAATCCCCTTGTGTTTGCTGTCCTGTGTCGATACATTGTTAATCTTACCGTGGCTTACTTTGTGAGATTCAAGCTGTAAATTACCTGTTGATCGTCTTGTCTTATGAGAAGTGTATCTCCAGTCTTAGCTGTTAGTTTATTGTCTGAGTCTTAGTCTAGTGTTTGTTATCCTGTTCAGTGTCTGCATTTTGTCTGCGTCTGGGTTCTCTCCTCCATATTCATGACACTTTCGTCACCATCTTCTTTAACCTCACTATCAATGGTAATATTTCAAATTGAGACTATAGACACTAAACACAATATAGATCAAATAAATCATGATCATGAAATATAAAAATAGTATTTTTTAAATACGAATAACATATTTAAAAATTGCCAATAAAGGGTTTAGGGTGAGTAACATTGCATCAGACTGATCAGATGTGACAGAAAATACTTGAATAATGTTACAAAAGATTTCTACTTCTAATAAATGTTGTTATTTTGATCTTTCTATTCATCAAATAAAACTGTTTCAGCATTGATATTAATAAGAAATGTTCTTGAGCACCAAATCAGAATATTAAAATGATTTGGGATCCTGTGACACTTAAGACTGGAGTAATGACAAAATTGTAATTTCCCCCCCTGTATTTTTGATCAAATGAACACAGCGGGTGAGCATATATATATATATATATATATATATATATATATATATATATATATATTATTTGGCAAAAAAAAGGAGAATGTGTATCACTATGTCTACAAGACATAGTAATATATATATATATATATATATATATATATATTAGGGCTGTCAAATGATTAATCACATCCAAAATAAAAGTTTTTGTTTACTGTAATATATGTGGGTGCACTGTGCATATATATATATTTAAGAAATATTTTCATGTAGATTTATATAATTTATATTCTATATAAATGTAAATATTTTAATGTATATAAATAATATTTTTTTCTTAAATATACATGCATGTGTGTGTATTTATATATATACAAAATAATTATACACAGTGCACCCACATATATTATGTAAATTAAAAGTTCTATTTTAGATGTGATTAATCGTGATTAATCATTTGAAAGACCTAATATATATATATTTATTATATAATTATATATATATATATATATATATATATAATTTATTTATTTATTTTTAAAACTGACGGTATTGTATTTTTTTTTATAAAAACCGTAATCAGTTTCATGTGTAGAACCACTAACAGCTCAGTTTTTCACAACATTCTCTCAAAATATAAACAAGTGTAAATGTGAACATTGTAATGTCTAAATGATCGAAGTCTGTCGAGCATAGCATTGCACCATTATTGTAACTCACTCAGTTTGCCAACCAACTGTTTATGCAAACCTGGTCAGTAATTTGCGCATATTTAATTTAAACATGGGATTACATTTCAGTTGTTCAAGTTTAATGGTGCAAAGCACACATATTTAGTAGTGTGCAAACCAGTGCCATCGCTAAAATTGATTTAAAAAATAATGTTATTTGTAGGAGGTTTAGACAGTTACTGACTTTTAGCTGATGCAGACATCAATGCCTCCGGTGCATTTCTGTCACTTTCCATTTGGTGTGTCGTGGTCAAGTTTAGCATAGTAAATAATCTTAATTAAAATATAAAAAAATGCAGATTTGTTTCTGCAAAGGTCATGTTTAGGGGTATGGAAAAGAAAATCCATAGCTCAGTTTAAAAAAAAGAGATGTCACCATTACAGAAACGTGTGTGACTTGTTGACCCCTGCCTCTCTCTCCTTTCAGCACAGATTAATTGGTCAGCTCAGGTAAGTAGCTTATACAACCCCAGTTTGGTCCCTCCTACTGTTTCAAAGAATCATCTCTCTAAATACATGAGACACAATATCAGACACACTTACCAAGGATAAGCTACGCAATTAGACCAAATACACTTCTATGTTTTGATCTATGTTTTTTTTTTGTTAAAAGACATTTTTATGATTTTAAGGTACTTAATCTCTAGTTCCAGTTCATTAATTCACAGAATTAATTGTTTGTCAACCAAAAAGCCAAAAGACAAATATTATGAATGTCAAGTTTTGCCAATGTTAGTTACCATGGACACGCATTTACACAGTCTTTGAGCTAATCATCATTGTGTATTTAAGTTCCTCCCTTCTTCCAGTTTTTTGTCTGGTATGGTTTGTGTGTCATGATTACGCGCTGTTTAGGTTGCCTTCCTTCTCATGGAATATTTGAGTTTGTTTGACTAAGTACATCTTGAGCCTGAGATGTGACATGGATATTTCAGAAAGATGGCAAAAACTAATGTACAAAAATAAAGGTCTTTTATGGCTGACCATATGGCACAACAGCAGGATAACAGCACAGCTTGCAACTCTGGTTTTATTTCTCCTCAATTATAATTAAAACCAATAATTAAAATAAGTGTTTGAAATATATATATATTTGTTGTTTGATTTCAGCTATTTTCCTTTATATTTAATAGTCTCATTACATTTTTTTTTCACAAACAAGTGTGTGAGAAAACTAGCCTATTACATCAAAGAATGTAGAGTAGCAAGACAGGAAGTGATAATCTTGATTAAAGAATGACTCATAAACAACTTAATATAAAGCTTATGATTATCCATTGCAAGTGACCTGACCAATCCACAATAAGTACGAGGATAATCTGATATATAGTTTTGCTGAAGTAGCTACATCTCGTGGCATATTAGTACACTCATAAACATGCAATTGTTCATGACAGCCAGTTTAGAGCTTCATTTATTGTCGCTCATCTGGCATCTGCTGATCCTCTCATTTTGGCCTGCTAGAAGATTCAAACAAAATCAATTGAAGTTTTACCGAATAAATCTAAATCTCAATGTAACATCTACTGTGTCTATTTTTATGACGATTCCTGAGAAGCTAAATTACCTGAGCTGCTCTTTGAAAGCTTGGCCAAACACAGCCTATTTTCAAAGGAATATTTCCCATCATTATCCTGCACAGTAACACACCCAGACACAAATACACACCTAATTCACATAATGTGAAACCAGACCACCTTTCAGGCTTATCACTCCATCCTTGGATAACCTCTCATGCTTCCTACTCATATCTTCTGGGTTTCTTTGACCTATTTATGCTCTGGAAATACAGCCCCCTAGGTCATTATGGATATTACACTGAGAAGAGTAAAATATGAAGAGTTCAGATGCGAAATTTTCCTCTAGAATGGTCATTTTTATCAAGCTTGTATATTTAAGTTCAGTAATTTCACTTAAATGGCAATTAATAGGTAATCTTCATTGCCATTTAAGTGAAATTACTGAACTTAAATATACAAGCTTGATAAAAATGATCATTTTAGAAGAAAATTTGAAATGGCACTTAGAGGCTTTTGCATCTGAACTCTTCATATGTCAAATACAAGCTCAACTAAGTCAATGCATTCAACTATTCTTACTATGCAGGGGCCCAATACATGCTGTGCTCAAATGACAACATTTGTGGGATAAGGATGATGACCACAAAAAAATAATTTCATCTTGTCCCTCATTTTATTATAAAAAGTAGAAGAAAAATCAAGGGTACAATGTGGCACTTCTAATGAAAGTGATTTGAACCAATAATTTTATAAAAAGCACTTACAGAATGGGTGTGGTCACGATTAAATTTGGACAGTGACAATTCATGCAGAAAAAATGCAGCATCTCAAACGGAAAACCGTGCTATCTGGAATTCCACGTGAAGGACGTGAAAGACTAAACATTTCTCCATATGGATACTGCATCGAGTTCAAGTTTGTTAGACTTTGAACATTAAAAAATTTACTGTGCTGACCAATATAAAGCTGCATAGTTTAAAAAGTGACCTCTGAGTGAGTGATGTTTCATGCATCTCTGCACTATTGGCTCCGAAAATTGTGAATAAATTTAGTTGTGACTCTGAGACTCTGAAAATCTGATTTTTTCAGTTTTTACGGTTGATGGCATTCCATTGTCATTGCAACAAAGCTGTAAAAAACGGGTATATCTTTACTCAGAAAAGGTTAGTAATAAAAAAAATGTTCACTATTGAAAAAAACATGGATATTGTTTATGTGTTGTCATTGGATGTACTAGTGATAGAGCGAGTATTTTAGCCCTATGTATATTTCCATTGTATTTGCAGTCAGTGTTGGGTGTACTAAGTAATTAGTTACTGTAATTGAATTACTTTTCCCTTGAAAATGTAAACTAAGGGATTACTGTTCATTTATCTGTAATTTAATTAGTTACTTCTGATGTAATTGAGGTAAATACTATAGATCAATCCGATCTCACAGCGATTCGTATATGCATTTTATGAGGTGTCTAATTTGTACGACCGCACTCGTACAAATTCGTATGAATTATTGTAAAAAATGTATGAAAAAAGTGTGTAATGTCATGAGATCAGACATAAAACAATAGTGGGTTTAACATCAAAATGTATTGTCTGATGTTAAAAAGTATGTTTTTATAATGTAACCTTCTCCACCTTGGTCAGTTTAAGGATAATTCATGCAATTTTATAGCATTTATTTGAAAGAATTAAAACAGATCATGTCTATCCTTGTATTATTCAGCTGGTTGAGATTGATATGGGATTTTGAAAGTAATTAGTAATTAGAAGTAATTAAATACCTTTTTAGAGAGAGTAATTAGTACAGTAATCTAATTACACTGTTGAAGAGGTAATTAGTAACTAGTAATTAATTACCCAACACTGTTTGCAGTACTGTCACCCAGATTTTAGTTTTTTTAAGAAAATGAGAGACATTATAGCATCGAGCTTGGCATAATGAACCTGAAATATTCCTTTAAGACAGGTTTGCATCATGCTTTATTTCAACTAAGAATAGACCCTGAGCCAGGCATGATGTAGAAAGACAAGCAGTGAATCAAAGCACTGTTTGAAAATCTGAAATGATGCTGAAAATGTCTATTTTCTAAAGAATTTATACCTCATAAATGCTTTAAATCTCAAGTGTTTGGGTACTAAGTATTAGTTATGATAATGAAAGAGACATTAGAGCTGCATCGTTCTAATTATGCTACTATTATCAGCCAGTCAGATTTAAGAACCACAATCATATTTCTTTATAATGTGACATGATGTGATCATGAGAAATGTATTTACATGGTTTAATAATAATTTATTGCTTTAATTTTTAAATTATGCTGGTAAAGCCCACTGCTGCAACAATGTGTGCCTGATTTGTGTCATGCACTGGCATGATGATGCTAGATTCTCTGACCTGTAGTTGCTGATGCTGTTGTCCACTCTCTTGCATGATGAGTATCTGATGGAACAGAGGACTCTGTAAGACACTCTTGAGGAGACTGAGTTTTTCCTCAGCAGGCAGTTCTCCCCTCTTCTTCAGCCTCTGCTGCAGACGCTCCACGGCCAGCAAAGCACGCTGTGTGTCTATACACACACATACACATAAATGTAATGACATGGACACATTCAATGACATCAGCTCTATACCTCACAGGAGAGCATGTACAACAAGCTGCATTTAATGAACTCAGATTGAATGACACACACGATGGCTGAAAATAATGTGTTAAGATTTCATACATACCCATCATTTTCAACTATTTGAGTATTGAACTACCACCACTCTCTTTCTGACATCTGCAAAAACAGAAGCAAATTAGCATCAATGTCAATCAAACTCTTGAACATGAACAAGATACAAATCAATAAAAACAAACAGATTTGTAACTTTCTCATCCTCAAGCGGGATTTACATGGATTGCAGAATCTTAATCACTAACTGGCAAGCACATGCACACCTGACAGCCCTTACCTGTGACGTTTGGCAGGAAGTGAGAGTGACGCAATTCGGCAGTCTTTGTAAGCGATGACAGGCTTTATGAATTGTACTGACGGTTTACTTCATATCTCGCTGATGCTCTGATAACGCCAGCTGTAATCTGTTATTCATGCTGATGTAATCTGGGTTGGAGTCTCGCGCCTCTACGGGAGGTTCTCGCGGTCGGCACGCGCTCATCATGTACTGCGCGAGCGCTCGTGTTTGCGCTGCGCTGCACCGGTAATGCGCTTACCGGGGAAGCTTAGCAGCTGTAAACGGACTTAAACTGTGAACGACGGTAATTACCCGGGACAGATGTCCTTACAACCTACCTGATAGGGCTTTAAGCGCCTGGTAGTGGGCGGTGTTGGACACAACAATTGTAACTAAGGGAAAACAAAGCATGGGGTTATTTTTAAACGGGCGAATCACATGAAGCTGATTGATGTGTGATAGATGTGTAAATACGACAATAAATAGGCCTATGTAAATACAGCAGTAGCATTCTCGACTCAACCAGGTGGCCTTAGCAAATTTCCAATAAGGTCTCAGAAAAGCCGAAAAGCCATTACCTGCTACAATCCAGCATTTTATTCCTCCACCCCCTTGAAATATTTTGCCAAGTGTAGTACACAAAGTTGTATAATATTTTAAATATAGAATTAACAATTTTAGGGTGCAAATGGGTTTTTATGGAGCAAGAGAGGAAAAATGAGGCCAAAGAACAACGAAAGGAGTTTATGTTTCAATTCCACAAAAGTTACAAGTTAAACGAACAGAAATCGTCTGTGAGTGAGGAGGTAACCATAGAAACAGATGCTCGATTGTTGTCTCCATCGGATGGATCATTATGCATAGCCTATTACTGTCATTATTTATCAAGCTATTAGATTTATACCTTACAATAGCACAAAAAATCGTTTGTTTAAAACTAGTTCGCATAAACCTCATGGCGGACAAAAAGAAGGGGAGGTGATCGGCCAACGTTACTTATCCATCATAGGCTAATATAAAAATATCTCACAAACAAAGTGCGATTTTAAAACTAGATAGCTACAAGGTAAAATCAGCATGTCATGGTTCAGGTGTAACTGACAGGTGCGATATGACGTTCCTTGAAGGTTTTATCACTTGCTGTCTATCAGTCTTCATTCGTTTCTTTCTCTCTCTGTAAAGATCATGCTGATTTCTCACCGCACATTTACCTTCAGATCAACAGGTTCCCCCCGCAGCTCTTTCGTGGACGTCTCATCTGATGTCGATCAAAAGCCCGGGGTCTCTTAAACATTTTCGAAAGTCGCGTTAGAGGCATCCAACATTATTTCGACAGGCTAGGGATTGCGTGAGAATGATTACCGACTGTCAGCGCGCATGTCCTCGATGCGCCTTTGATGCTCGTGAGTTTAATGTAAATGGATGCCCAGGCCTCTCCCCCCCTCCTCATTCATTTAGGCTAATGAAATAACACAGACATCAGCTCGCATTACTGCTGTTAATGCTCCACAAAAAAATATCCAATGTGTTATTTTATATCAGACGTCACTAAAACCGATGAAAGACGCCAACTTATATGTTTTAATTTATTATTATCTTGGTTTAATTGTAATTATGAATATCAAATGGACCTAATTGCTCAACCTTTACACAAAAAGATTATTTGTTTCCCTCAGTCCTATCTTATACCCCCAACATATCTGTGAACTGACTTTAATAACAATATTCAATAATCAATAATCAATATTCCCTTCCCTTATTTCCTTATTTTTTTTACATTTTGTTGCAGCCATGCTAATATAGGATATATATATATATATATATATATATATATATATATATAGGCTATATATATATAAGCCTATACACATCAGTCTACTCCATATATAATGACACAAACAAAACAAATTTGGGATAACTTAGCAAATTTATTAAAAAGACAAACTGAAATTGACATAATGATATATTATTCAGACCCTAAAATTTACTTGTGTGGAACCCATTTCTCCAGATAATTTTTTAGATGTTTCTACTCTGTTTGGCAAATTCAATTGGACATGATTTAGAGAGGCACACATTTGTCCTTTCCACATAATATAGGAAAAATAATATTATCTAGCCTATTAGCTATAATATGCCTATAATATTGCAGGTGCGTCAATGCAATGCTACTAATATTATTTTTTTCAATTCTTATTTTTTTCAACTCTCCATGAAGACACATCATGTTTCTTAAATAGATATATGGAAATAAGCCATTTCTGTACTTTATAATAGCCTTTTATTTCAAAGAATTTAAGTTGTATCACTGGGTTATGCATCAATGCTGATACCATCACATCTTCTCCGTATTAAAATTATGTCAATAAAAATATCATGAAGAGATAAATAAAAATGTAAATAATAATCCTCCTTTCCGGATGATTCAAGAACAAATTATTGTATATTGTCCTTTAAAATAACTTTATCTTAAATGTTTTGTTACATTTATCAGTATAAAATGATCTTAAAATGCAAAGCACTGAAAATTTAAAAAACAAAAATTTCATAGGCCTATACCTGTTACCAAGATTTTGTACGTAGGCTGATGTTAAAAACTGGATGTTTGTACAGCTATCTTCATTACAGTTTCTTTCGAAAAAAAATATAATGACCTCGAATGATGGCTAAATGTCAATGCTACTTTTTTAGACTTTGTTTGATGTATTGCAACATTTATCCTACAATTCAGCTTAAGATGGAAAATTGTAGTTTATTACGCAAATGCATAGGCCTACTTTTAAGCTTTTAAAACTGACGTTAAAACACGTTTCAAAATGGCACAGTGACTGGACCATTTTGACTGAATGACAATGACCCCGCAGGTGATAGGAAGGTCGACCCTTCACCGCTCTGCTGTGCGCGCTCTCGGCCACCAGAGCGTGCTCAAGTCCTCCCGTCATCCCAGCTCCAGATATCTTCCGGATTCACCGCCCCTCTTATCCTCCCTTTCTTTCTTTTCCCCTCCCACTCTCCATCCTTGAATCAAGCATCACTTTGCTTCCAAATTGGCTTGTCATTTTCTCTCGGCGCTCGTTCCCTAGCTGTCGGGTCTAATGGACGATCTAGCGATGGACTGGCGCTGATCTCGCGGATTGTTCAATCACTGGACCCACTCTGCGCATTTTCCTCTTATTCCAGAAAAAAACACTGATCGGGATAGCCTACAACATTGGGCTCTGATACCCGTTTTCCACCACAGATCCATTGGGTTTGGGGGACGAAGGATCTACTCGATACTGATCCTCACTGTGGGTCTTCGGGAAGCTTCAAGCATCATAAAGACGCATCTGGGAACGCAAGCTCAAAACATCATCTGCGTGTTTTTATTCACACACGGACACACTGTCACGGGAATAAGGAGCGTTCTGAGACCATACAGCCCGATGCTGTTGAGCACATCCGGAGCTGACTATTATTCCGGTGCTTTATAAGATGCGGTAAGTCAATGCTTTTAAACGTGGTGACGTTATTTCTAAAGGGCCAATAAATCAATAACCGTTGGACGTTTGAGTTGCAGTGAGATGCCGTAGTTTACACTCAGCAAACTCTCCATATCTTAGTACTTAAGCTGAATTATGTCGTGTCTGTGTGTGTGTGTGTGTGTGTGTGTGTGTGCAGGGGGCTTTGGACACAGGATGCTTTTTGTCGTGTGCCGTGCGTGGTGTTTTAATGGGCGTCGGTGCGCGCGCGCGCGTGTTTGAGTGTACAAGTCGCTGCCTTCAGCTCTTGACGTAACAACACGATAATTTCATTTGTTTATAACAGGCAACGTGCTGCAAATGACATTATATGGAAGGCACATATTCACAGCATCCCTTCAGCGTTTATAGGAGAAGAAGATAATCAACGTCGACTTAGTGCCAGCGGACCGTCTTTCTCTAAATGCATGCGTGTGTGTGTGTGTGTGTGGAACAGCAGATGCGTTGGTATGAGATAATCTAAAAGAAAAAAATGAAAGCATCTTCAAAATAAACAGCCTTGAGAAGATCAACAGCAACCATGCAATTAAACACCGTCAGATCACTACAGAGATCATATGACCTTGATTCATTCACTAATAAAGACACATCTGCTATTCATGTCAACCTGATGTCATGAAAATTGCAGTAGCCCATACACGCTGGATCGTCATTTATGCGGCCAATCATACAGTATTGTTTGCTTTTTGCCAATATAGATTATTTAAATTAGCCTATAACTGGAGTCAACTGACTTTATTTTTAAGTGATAGTGATAGACATTAAGTGGTAGTTGATCTCATGTGGATGACCCATTTTAAGAAGGAAGATCTGCCATGTGTTCTACTGATTGCAACACATTCATCATTCATATCTGGTTTGGAATGGAAAAGACAGAGAAAGAAAGAGTATACAGGTTACTTGGACAAATTACAGGCAATTCACACAGGTCGGGTCAAAATCACAATAGGCTACAATACAATACAATGTTTATTTGAGGTTGACCAAAAGTGCTGCACAGTGTACAAAAAGATCACAGCAATATCATATCACACATAAACAGTAAGCAACATTCATCAGCTGTAAAAATGGGTACGGTTCTAAATAAAGAGATTCATGGAATATTAAATGCCAGTGAGAATAAATATGATTTAAGAATTGATTAAAAAATGAAATAGTTGGGGCAGTTCTAATGTTAGCCGAGAGACTATTCCATAACTGGAGGTCCAACAACAGCAAAAGCACGATCACCTCTATTTTTGAGTTTAGTCATGGGAACAAGAAGTAATTTAGAATCACCAGATCGAAGATCTGAACCAACTTATCTAAACTGTTTTGTTGGATTTAATTTTGCATAATTGTAGTTTAATTGTTGTATGATATAAAATTTGAGGTTTGAGTCCAGGCCTGGCCTTGAGTCAATCTCTGAACTTAGTAAACTAAATAAAATATGAGCAGACAGAAGTAAAAAAAAATAAAAAATAAAATCAGGTGTAGCCGCCTACTTGAAAACATTTCCGTTCCAAATCTACATTTGGCAAAAAAAATGACACATTAAAGGGAAAGTTCAGACACAAAAAGAAAATTCTGTCATCATTTACTTAGCCTCGTGTCGTTTTAAACCTGTATGACTTTCTTTCTTCAACGAGACGCCAAAGGAGATGTTGGGCTGGATGACAGCCTCGGTTCGCTTTCATTTTATG